ACGAAAATACACACAGCTCAAAATACATGTTCGCAAAATTGGACATAGTACTTGATTCCATTTTTCAAACTCCTTTTATAAGTATATTGTACTTTTTTTTAAAAAAACTAATGAATCCAAATAAATTTGTAATGTGATGTTGTCAATTTATATTCCAGACTTTAAAAGTCACCAAGTTACAAGGTTACCACAAATGCTATAAATTTATAATAGTGGTAGAAAATTTACTTTGTAGGAATTAAGTTTAATACAAAGACATCACCTGAAAAATTATATCTATAATATACCTAGCAATCCAGTAATAATTATGCTTAGTGTTTAAATAAGTAAGGAAAAGTGAGCATGTAATTCCCCATTTAGTTATTAAATTTGGGTCCAAAACCGGAAAGGCATGTTTTTTGCTGAGTCCTATCTCACAAGCATGCACTTAGAGCTGTGTCAATTTTCGTAAACACTCATTTGAAGCTGTATTTTGGTTAACTTGCAATTTGAACTGTGTCCAGATTTAAAAACTCATCAACGCTTTAATAATTATCAGGCAAGTTTTATCAACGTATTGAAAATGTAATATATCATGCAGCTTATCTACAAATTGGTAAATATTAATTAATAGCGAATACTTATTTAAATAACAAATTTAAATCTACATTGTAATATTTTAGAGTTATATTTGTGCATATCCAAACCTTTATGGTTTAAAGCAGGGATGGGCAAACTTTTTTGGTCGAGGGCCAAAAATCAAGAAAAAAAAATGTTTGGTGGGCCAAGTAAGATCTTCAAAATTTAAGAAAGAAAAAAAAGCGATATACAAGTTTTAATTTAAATATTTAGTGGGATGAAGGAAATTGCGATTTCATTTCTAAGAGTTCCTTATATTAAGGTTCGAAGTCAGATGTGCTTATTTCAAGGAACAAGGCTAAATCCTTTTCTGTTAGTCTACTTCTGAAATAATTTTTTCTAAGGTTCATAATTGAAAACTCTTGTTCACGTATATAAGATTAAGCTAACATAGCACTGATTTTCTGGTCGTGAAATTTTAAATTTTGGAAACTAGCTTTTGGTAATGATTTGTCAAACTTAGGCATAATTAGAAACAACTGCTTCAGATGATTGTTAGATTGTCCGCTCTTTGGAGCGTAAAATGCGCAGTCTGCCAAATGTGAAGTACAATTTACCTATATTAGATTCCATAAGTCAGCTCCTCGAGAAAGACAAACGCTAGTTGGAGCAATTCTACGGCTATTCTATAAAGAACTTCTGCTTTCAACATTTTACCAATAGAAGCTGTCTCGCTGTCTGTGCTAACTATTTCCATCAATTTATGTTTTGTAGAACAAAAATAGAGAAAGTAAAAATGTCATCAGTACTTTGTTAAAAAAGGAAACACAGAAATAATTTTAAACATAGTCGACAATAAAATGGATGTATATTGTTTATATTTGCCGCTGATCGGCAAATAAAAATTCTATCCGCGGGCCGGATAAAATCCTCCGGCGGGCCACAGTTCGCCCGCGGGTCGTAGTTTCCCCATCCCTGGTTTAAAGGTTTGCATATCCAAACCTTTAACACGAAATGAAATTCGATGCAGATTCAATTCTTTTTTTTCAAATAGTAAATTGCTTTAAAAACTAGGAATTTTCAGTTTTCTTTAAATAAAAAGTTAGCATAAAGATTAAATATAAAAAAAAAAATTTATTTTGTACCATTTAATAAATTGTGTTAAACATGCAATTTTTTACTTAAAAAATTTCTGTTGATTCTGTTTTTAACACATTTTTTTTTCAATGGTTCAATATTTTTTATATGACAGCCTAAAGAAGTTAAAATAATTGTTCTATAAATAAAGGGGGGAGAAATTACTTGCACTTTTTCTTGTAATTCTATTTTAATCGATGTAACACCTGAAGAACCGTTGCACTTTCACGCGTAAGCAATGTACATCTAGTCAAAATTTCATTTTGTTTTGTAGCTAAGTTATTTTTAACTGAGCTTAAAGCCTAAGTGTAAATATTTTCTCCAACTCCATAAAGGCCTCATCTTTGCTCTGAACATGAACAAAAACCGGTTCTGAAGCGTGAGAAGTGGTTTTCCTTTTCTCAAACATACACAAAGAAAAGCTAGTTACATAATAAAACCGGTTGAATCTCTTTCCTTGCTTCGGAGATCAACTTACTTATGAGATACATAAACACTCAATTCAAAACAGTTGATGCCCTTCTCCATTCGCGTTGTGTATTAGTAAATTATTTCCTTGCGCCATAAAGAAAAAAAAAACAGATTTGCTATGGAAAGTAAAATATACATGTATAGCAGATCTATAGGTGGGATTGCTATAGGAATTTTTTTTAAAAGTGGGCTCATTTTGTTTTCTTCCTTTTTTGAAGATTTGACATTAAATTATAAAACACAAGACATATCCAGAAAGTAAGTACCGTTCTGTTCTACCGCCACCACAGTGGTAGTATTGGAGTTTCGCGCATGTGGTTGATTGTTTCATATTTTATAACCGCCGTTGAACAGCCGACCCAATTTCGGGTTTACTACTAATGTTCAACTCCGTAGCCTTGCAATTTTAAACCCAATACAGAAGACAAGGAAACTACTGGATCAATACCCCCAGAGGTATGATTTGTTATGGAAACATGGAGGACTTTGAGACTCGACAGATTTAACGTGCATCAGTCACCATTTACTACACGGGAAGTCTTAGGCAGGCGGGGATCAATCCCATGACCTCTTGGACAAGGACCCAGCACCCTACCAACCAGGCTACCCCGGCCGTATGGTTGATTGTTTTTTTTTATAACCGTCATTGGGCCGGGATATCCAAGAGGTCGTGGGTTCGATCCTCGCCGGCCGAAGACTCCCCGTGTAGTAAATGGTGACTGATGCACGTTAAATCTGTCGAGTCTCAAAGTCCTCCATGTTCCCACAACAAATCAATACCTCTGGGGGTACTGATCCAGGAGTTTCCTTGTCTTCTGGATTGGTTCAAAATTACAAGGCTACGGAGTTGAACATTAGTAGTCGTAAACCCATGAAATTGGGTCGGCTGTTCAACGACGGTTATAAAATAAAATATAACCGTCATTGAACAGTCAACCCAATTTTATGGGTTTACAACTACTAATGTTCAACTCTGTAGCCTCGCAATTTTAACCAGAAGACAAGGGAACTCCTGGATCGAGTATTGGGAGAAATTTGCCTTTGTGGAGGACTTTTATAGCTAACCCGCATTTGCTTTATATGGAGAGGAAGACCACAAGAACCTCCCACAGTTAGCCTGACGGCAAGGGACTCTAACCCATGATCCGGCTACCACCGAGGATATTTCAGCACTGTGGTCTGTGCAAGCCGGATGCGGAGTTCGTATCGACTGGGATTCGAACCCAGTTCACCTCAATACAAGGCGAACGCTCTATCCCTATAGCCATCGTGGCACATGGTTGATTGTTTATCCCTCGACATCGTTACAGCCGGATAATGTTGAAGTTACATACGTTAGTAAGCATTCAAGATGTTTAAGAAGATTGCAGATCCCGCCAACTATGAAGTGCACTTGGTATTATAGATTTTGAACACTAAAAATATTAAGCCATCCGAGATTTATGTTAAAAATGTAGTGTTTGATAGAATGGTTAGAAAGTGAATTAGACAATTCAATAATAAATCTTCTTACGTTCATGACAAAGTACGGAGTGGGTAACCTTCTATAGTCAATGACTGTTTGGTTGCAAATATGAAAGAGAAAATTCGTGAAAACAGATGGTTGACATGATTGGTGATGACTAAATTCAAACTAATTTGTATGATATAGTCACAAATCAATTGACGATACAAAAAACTGCGTTTAGCTGTAGCTGGCAGCATCTTTCTTTAAAGAGGGCATTGACAAGTTCGTTTACCGCTATGACAAATGTCTGCATATTGTTTGCAACTATGTAGAAAAATAGTCGCCTAAGTTCTCTTTCATGTAATTAAATTTTGTTTTGAAAAACCTTTTTATGCAAGTTTTTGCAAAATAGTACTTACTTTCCAAATATTTCTCGTAACTTGTAACTGAAATTAGTGGCACTCATTAAGTTTTCAGAAATCCTTCAAAAGGAAATCGAGGTTGAAAATTATGTAATATGCATGACAATTTAGTGCAAAAAATGATATTAACAAAAGCATATTGATTAGCATCACAATATGAAACTAAAAAAAGTGTTCAAGAGACACTGAGTTGTCACTGTGAAGGACTGAGCTCCGATCCACATCTCTGGCATGAAACCCGACCAGCATCAGATTGAATGCTTTGCTTTGATCAATGCGTAATTCACCATCTCTAAAAATATTCATCAACAGAATTTTACTAACTTAAACTGATTGCTTTCTAATACAGAGTGATTGGAACTATCTGACCATTTTTGATATCCAATAACACTTTAAAAAAATAAGATTGACTAATTATGCAAGATAAGATTTATTGATTATGTAAGGAATTAATTTAAATAAGCTATTCATATTAATAATACTGATTCATAGAATATAATGAAATTTTATTTAGAAGGAATTATTTTATGAATTACTTTACAGTTTTGATTTTTATTTTATGATTTTCATTGGTTAATTTTTACCTGCAAACTTTTTGTGATATGCCAGAAAACATAACCTAATTATATTATTTATTTTACATGTTATTGCATGATAGTTTACATTCCTCCTAAAGCAATTAGTTAAGAAAATTTTAATGTTGAATGTTTACACAGTTAAAATATTTCAATATGTTAAATTCTTAAATACCCAGCAGCAGTGGCTTGCTCAAAACTTATTGAGTATTATTAAACAGGTTTATGGTGACTAGCCTGACACAGGTAGTTTCTAAATATTAATTTGTAAAATACAATGGTATAACATTAAGCTATTAGCCTGAGTGAAGACCCTGAGTCTACTAAACCACGACAAATTATTTTAAAGACAACAGCAAATAATAATTTAAAATGTAAAAAATCAGAAAATCAATGCATTGAGATTTTAATTCTGTTGAATGTTAAGATTTGATGATGGAGCCCAGGAAATTTTCAAACATGAAAATCAAATATTAAAAAATATTTTTTTATTATATAAAAACAATGAATAATATACTATAATTTTAATCTTCTCTTTTTACAGTTGATTTAAAATATAGTTTCTTATCCCAGGTTTGAGATTTTCTGCACATCCAAGCACAATTTCTAAATCTGCAAGGTTTTGTACGGCTAACATCGTCATAACATCTTTCTTTGAAAGAAATTTTCCAAGACACCTATCAAGTAAGATTTAAACATATAAGCCAAACAATACTAAAGAATATCAGTATGTGTAAGTATAAAAACAATGTAACCAAACTTGAAAATGTATAACATGATCTGGAAAGCAATGAAACAAATACTATAATTATAAAACAAATCTTTAATAAATACTAAAAGACTTGAAAATAGATCTCTTGAACATCAATCCATCATTCCAACAACAGACCCAGTAAATTGTGATTGGCAACAACAATAAGTTGGTGTGGGTTACAGAACCATGGAATGAGCAATTGGGTTTGATGCTGGCCTAATGTGTTTTGATTCTGGAGAGTTAAAAGCTCTTTTATGAATTATTTGCTTGATTTCTTGGATGGAAGTAGATCCTTCAGGAAGAAAAATGCAAAGACAATAAGCGTAACTTTGTCCACATAAGCTAAGGGAAGACCTGGATGTAAATAAAGAATAGTTCTAATTTTCGTATACGACAGCAGATCCAAACCTTTATTTTTATAAACATTCTTCAATTTTTCGAATAAAAAATTATGTAAATAATTCTATTAAATTGCATGTTCTTTAAAGGTAAGAAGATGTGCATATGGAGATTTGCTTTACCGAGAATGCCCTGTTGAATTCCAGGCTTATTGAGAATGAGGATTCTGATCAGATGTCCCCCGTGCAAATCAGTAGTCATAAAAAAAGATGGTCAAGATAAAGTATATTCTTCAATTCAGCAGCGTAGAAAAGTGATTTTTGTTTGAACTCAATAATGACTTGAGTGATCTTTTTAGCAAATTTTTAAGCAATATATAAAAACCAAATGAACTCAATTGGATTGGCCTATGTACAGTATATCTTAACTTTTCTATTCAAATTTCCATGGAATTAAATTAACAATGATATGAAGCGATTTATTTTAAGTCTCCAAATGATAATACTTGTTTTAAAAAATTTCCATTGAATTAATGTCAAGTGTTATAATCTAAAGTGATTTATTTTAAATTTTCAAATGATAATACTTATTGGTAAATACTTAGATAATTTTATTTGGCTAGAAATATGTTAGTTTATTCAAGTCAGTACATGTTTCAAGTGTTATATATGTATTTGCTTTTCAGGACTAAATATTCTAGTTTTATGGTTATTATTACTATTAATTATTAATACAAGTTTCATTTTAATACTGACATGGTAGTTTAAAAGTTTTTGGAAAAACTTTCTTTTCAAAATTTTGCTTTTAAACACGTCTTAACTTTTTAATTTTTTCGAATTTTTATTCCAGTGGTGCAAGTGCTGTGCCAATTGTGGAAACCTGCGCCTACATGCTCCAAATTGAATTTGCTCCAAAATTTTATTTCTCTTAATTATTTCATCGTCATTGAAGTGCCATCGTCTTCGTCAATGGTAAGCTAATGGCCTTTTTGTGCTACTCTATTTATATATTAGTACCATGATCTTTGAATTAACTTGAGGGACCATTCACTAAGTACATATTTTCATGTTGATCCACAGAGCAGTCAAGAACCACAAAGCTTCATAACCTCAAAATTTCCATATCCCTTTTATTAATTTAATTTAATAAAGATAAGAATTAATTGAGTTTCCTAAACGTAAATTTTTTATCTGAGGGACCATCCTCTAATTGCATATTGTATTTAAACATTTATTTTAATTTATTACTTATTTATTAATTTATTTATTTTAATTAATTTATTTAATATATTTTTTTACTAATATTTTTATTTTTGCTTACTGCATTTTATTATTGTATTATTACTTTCTAAATTTTCAGTGCTCTTAATTTGTTTAGGGAAAAACTTAATAATATTAAGAGGCAAGATTTTAAATAAGTATGAAGAAAGGGGCTTTCAATATTTTAAATGCAGCAAAAAATCTTATGTTTTTTCAGATTTGTCATTCAAAAATACTTTAATTCATCTCTTAATGATTTTATTTAAAACAACTGACATAAAAATTTTTAATTATCACAGATTTGCTAAATATTATGAGTGTAGGGACAATATAATAATTTTCTTCTGACAAATTTTTTTTTTAGCTTCAATGCTCATTGTATTTGCATTTAAAAATTATTTAATCATGTTATTAATAAAATACTGTGCTTGGTAACCAATTTTAATAAAAATTTATCAGGGGCCATTCACTAATTTACATTTGTAATATAAATTTATTAAAGTTTGCTTAATTCTTTACATATTTTTATAAATTCGGTATGATCAATATTAATTTTGTTAATGTTTTGTTGAATATACAGTAGGGAACCGATTATCCGGAACGATCGGGACCATCACTATTCCGGATAACTTATTTTTCTGGTTTTCTGAATCACTACAAAAAGCCGTTTTTTTATTGTTAAACCCAACTAAAAAAAACAAATTTTGGAAATAATCTTAAAAAGAAGAAAAAACGATTAAATAATACACTAATGATTATTTCCAAAATGATGGTAAGGTAAACATCTTTCTATAAAGAAAGAAAAATCCTAAAATCTTATGAGGAAAAAAAAAATTTTTTTTAAACTGGCGGGAAAATGTATCGAATTTCGTTCCGGTTTTTTGGTTTTCTGATTTCCGGATAACGGGTCCTGTACTGTACTATAACAAATAACATTTGTTTAAATTTTAAGAAAAATACACTATAACCTTAAGTAATAGTTAAATTAGAGTTTTGAATTACTTTTTACAGAATTAAATAAAGTAATTGTTAATTTAAAAAATAGTATGAGCCACTCAATATTGAATTTATTTAAATTGCTTTTGCCAAAAGCTCATTTTTTAGAAATATTTTGGCTATATTAAATACATTTTTAGGTCTTTTCCAAATTGAGACACTATTGTTAGGGCGTTTTTTAAAGAGTTCTACTTTTCTTAGTTTGTCAGGAAAGGACTCATGAATCATTGGATGTAGAAAACGCAGATATTTGGCAAAATTTAAATTTAATAGATGTTGGACTAGATACCGCAAAGGTGATGACGTCCGTATCTTCTTCAGAAAAAAAAAATCTATGTATTTAGGTTCCAGGTCTTTTTACTTGGCATGCGCAAAAAAGTTATTAAAAGCATTGCCTCTTGAAAATAGGTTACTGTACCATCTTAAAGTGTTGCTTTCTGTAATAAGAATGGAGTACACTTCTAATAAACCAATAAGATATCTGGCAACAGTAACCCCATCCATTATAAAACCTGAAGAGGCATCTTTGTTACTAGATGAATGGACGAGCTTACGCGGGGAACCAGAAGGTTATTCTTCTGACTCAAATGAACATGCACCAATTGATGTGTTTTGGAAAAACTACTTTGTGACGAAAGATAATTTGGGAAATATCAAATATCCTCTTGTAACAAAGCTTTTTAAAGCTTTTTTGTGCATACCACATGTTGATGGTGAAGGAGGTTTTAGTGTGAACAAAAAGCTACTTGACAATAGGGTAAGTTTAAATTCGCATAGTGTTAATGGTTTGAGACAAGTTGTGTCACATATTAACAAAATAGGAGGTTTAAATAATTTTAAAGTTGACANTTTTTGTGCATACCACATGTTGATGGTGAAGGAGGTTTTAGTGTGAACAAAAAGCTACTTGACAATAGGGCAAGTTTAAATTCGCATAGTGTTAATGGTTTGAGACAAGTTGTGTCACATATTAACAAAATAAGAGGTTTAAATAATTTAAAAGTGGACAACGATGTGATTAAAGTGGCGCTTGCAGCATTTAAAAATTATTCCGCTCGATTAGAGGTTGAGAAAAAAGAAAGCGAAAAGAATGCGAAAACATTGAAACTGAAGAAAGCAGATTGAAAGCTGCTGAAATTCATTTGCAAAAGAAATTGAAGGCTTCTCATGATCTCTTAGCCACAGCTGAGAAAAATATGAAAGATGGGTTAAATAATAAAGACATGTCGATTATAGAAAGCGGACAGATCCTCTTATCTGAGGCTAAGTCGAGGATAGCAGAATATTTAACAGCATTAGAAGATAGCAAAAAGAAACTTAATTTGTTAATGCAGGGACCTTCAAAAAAGTGTAAAAAATAAGATATGTTATTAATGGAAAAAATTAAAAATTCTTGTTATTAAATTCTTATTTTAATCCTTTTTATTAAATATGCTCCAAATCTTTGTTTTTCTGCTCCAAAATTGCTTTTTTGTTGCTCCAAAACCATGTTTTGCCACTTGCACCACTGTTATTCTCAGTTTTGAACTTAAATTTTAATTGTACTAAATGTTAAAGGTACAAAACTCATTGGTACCCTAGAAAGTAATTTCATGGCAAACATCTTATCAATTGATTTTTAACCATCACCACCTAAACAGAGAGTTCAATGACAGTTACTGTTATATGGCTTCATAGCTAGTGGCAGAAAAAAAATATTTACACCCGACACTGGTAGAAACTCTCATGGGGTAATTGTGCTAGTAGATACTTGCTTTACTTTTAGTAGTGACTAATTTAGTAGTAAATGACATTCAACTAAATCAAGTACATCATGAGTAGATTAAGAATCTTTCTGTTAACCCACACATTTTTTTAAAAATCAGTCAGTCATTTTCTGAAACTATAAAAAATGCATATGCTTATGAGAGAAGTTAGCATATTTATGTTTTTTTTTCTTTTAATGTGTAGAAAATCAAGAAATAATAGATTATATCTTATTTTCACTTTTTTTTTAATTACAAGAATTCAGAGTTTTAAAAATTTAAATAATCATCAATTTGCAATATTAACATAAAATATGCTTTTAATAAAAAAAAAATCATAAAGGAACAAGCTCAAAGAATCTACTTTACCTAGAGTATTCAACAGTTTTGATCAAAGCACAGGACTTAGTCATTAACATAAGGCAAAACTCTTTTATACAATTCCTGCAATCTTTGCTACCATTTTTCTCCAGAAATACAAGCTGGAAGAAAAAAAATTTAATCAATAATTTTTCCTACATTTTGAATTTAATCTTAAGAAAAAACAATGCTAATTTTAACTTATTTCTGATAAATTATATTAAAAAGATTTTACAAATGGTTATAAGTTAGAGACAAAATGTTAATGTTCTGTTTTTATAAAATTGCAAATTTAAAAAAAAAACTACTAAAACTAGTCTTATTAATTGTCAAATTATATTTTGTAAATTTATATTTAAAATAAAGGTTTTATCAGGCATAAGAACGTTGCTGAAAAACAGATATAATAAAAAATAGTGTTAAAGACATTGAAATTTCTAGTACTATAGAATCTGAATTATCCACAAAAAATTAGAAACTGTATGCACTTCAGATAATCATATTTAATCCACTTATTCCCTACTTCTATCAATCAACAATGAGAAATAAGAAAAACAGTATTTTTATTGTATTATTGTATAACAGTAATATCATTGATCTAAAAAAATTATGATTATTTTTATACATATTTAATAATTATTTTAATGATTTTTTTAACGATTTAATCATTTAATTTATTTTTATTCGCATATTTCTAATAGATGTGTTCAGTACACCATCATTCATTATAGTAAAATTTTGCATGACTTATCTGATGGTGTGGCTAACATGAGTAAATGATATTTTTATATCAAATTTTGCAGCTGCAGTTTGTTTCTAAGATGATCTATCTCCATGAAATTACAATAATTCAAGCATTAGCATAATTATATCAATGTCATATAATAGTAACGAAAGAAGGCTCAAATTTGAAGAGGTTTCTGAAACCAAAAATAGTATTTTGAGTTATGTATAACATCTTGTAGTAAAAGAAACAATTTTCTTTGAATTCAGGAAAATATAGTTCCAAGAGATAGTTTTTTTTGTTATAAAATAAGAAAACTCTTTGTCTCATTAAGTCTTTTCTAAATTGTTTTTCTTCCAGCATGGGGAAAATACAAAAATTTGTGTCTATTTCCTTTTTCACAGCAAAACTTTTAATTGCATTTCGTTTTGTTATAGACAAACTGATAGTGCAGAAATTCCAAAATAAATAAAAGAACTAGATTTTGTAGAACAATATCGTCTTAAGACTAGTTATGATTGGGATTTTATGATACATCTATTTATTACATCTTATAAGTAGCAAGAATAAAATTTTTAAAATAGAGTTGATGATATGATCCTTACAAAAATATTAATGTGCCTATGAATAACAAATGCTATTAGCATCATTACATTATCATTAGCACTATTATATCATAATGAAGAAAAATTTTCTTCATTATGATGTTAATATAATAGTGCATAGCACTACTATAGCACTGATATAATAGTGCTATGATGATATAATAGTGCTATTTTATTCATATATTATTGGCTTGATGCTTCAATGCTTGGCAAATGTTATGTAATTGAAAAAAAAATATTATCTTTTAAAATCTAGAACAATCAAAGTCAGAAATTAAAGAAAAGAAAACCATTTTCAAGTATTCACAATGATTTTCATGATACTAAGCCACAGTTATAAGAACATAATTTTTCAAAGATCCATTAAAAAGCAATAAAAACAACTAGATAGTAAAACTTTTATAACTACAATTTTGTCTACTATCAAATGGAGAATGGCATGCATCAAAGCACATAAATAATCAAACTTATTTGAGATACATTCTAACGCAAACAGAACTGGCATTTAGATTTTCTATATGAAGTTTTAGAACGTATTTATGCCTCAGCATTTCCGCAATCCCAAAAGTTCTGCCAATCTTTGGAAACAGTCATAAATAGAGATTCCCTTTATTTTTTAAAAATGTTTCTAAAATAAGAATTCTGCTATTTTTTGAGAAAGTGACATAAAACAATTTTTTATATATAACTTCACTATGCATTTCAAAAACATTGTAACTAAAAACTGAAAATTTTCATTTTGCTTATGCATAACACAATCTTAATTAAAAATAGCATGCATTTTAATTCAGTAAAAAAATAACTACAATACATCATTTATAAGCTCAGGAACTAAACTTCCAATTTCAGTCACTAAGGATATGGATTTCCTATAATAAAAAACAAGTTTCATTTTAAAACAAATATGATTAAAAAAAGAAAACATTTAAAAATTTTAAATTAAACGGTTTTAGACAACTGAAAAGATAAAAAAAAAAGGTTTACATTACTTGTCAGATTTAGAAGTTTCTTGGAAAGGAATGGTTTGCCAAACATTATCGTCAGTCAAGTCAATTACTGTTAATGGACTTAGTTCTTTATTTGCTCTTTCAAGTAAAAATTTTCTACTTTTAGATACTTCCTAAAATATAAATTTTCAATAATTTTAAATAGAAATTTTGTAGTAAAGTTAAATGGTCTCTCAACAATAACAATTTTAATATACAGAATCTAATTGATGACAACCTTTAAGTAAAGTTTTTATGGTTTATTTGAATGGTCATACACTTATAAACAATATAATAACTTTAATTTTTATAAGTTCTAATAATAAAAAAATTATAACCTTTTATTTAATTTTAAAAAAACCTGCCAAAGTAAAATATTAACATTCATGAACTTCTGAAAATTGGTGATCATTTCACACTAAAAAACTGATATTACTTCCCAACCCAATATTATAAATGACACAAAACTAGTTACATTCAAAAAATTATATGTTTCTGAAATTATTATATAAGTTTGTAATAAACTAGTGGCAAAGTGGCAATGCTTATTTAAAGATATTTTAATGCAATACATAGATATCTCTATGAAGAAAAATTGAAATTAGCCAACAAATTCAAATAAATGGCAATAATTTATAATTTGCATTTTTTCTATGAGTTTAATAAAATGATCAGTATTCAAAGATTTACTGAAGATAGTTTTAAGCAAGCCAAAATAAGAGAGAAATATATTTACCTCAGCTGTATTTCTGATGCATAATCCCACACTGTATGACTTAGAAAACTGATGAGAAGAATTATGAAACTTAACATTTTTCTGTGAAGTAAATGGCGATAGAAAATAAATGATCTATAAAAGAAGAGAAAGTTAGATACAATGAGATACCAAACATGTTTTGCTTTATATTATTAAAATAAACATTTTTGAAATAAACACTTTTGAAATTAATTTTACCAAACAATACAAATTCTTTAATAAGCTTCTCCACTTATGATAAAAAGATAGGAAAATAAGTGTCAAAAGTTAGAAATATAAAAATCAGATATAACTTTCGAAAATCAAAAATATTATTCCCTACCACTTTTAGCATTTGAAATAGTTATAAATCCACTTATTTAAAATTTTTATGAAATTCTAGAATTCAAAGTGAAAATTTAGCAAGCAATTTTTATTTGATGGATTGAGAAAAGGAATAAAAGATAAGGAAACTACATTCTTTAAAATAGTGCTTTTTAGAAATTATCAAATCTAAACGTTTTAAGCTTGTTAACATATTTCAAACTATTTTAACTACTGTGGACAAAGGTAAATATAGTTATCTAATAAAAATAACATTTGTTTCAATGTTTCTCTGTTAAGAACCTTTTTTTATTTGAACAGAAAAAATGAGTGGATGTAATATTAGAACACTAGAATTATTTTTTCACAAAATAAATTGAGGGGATCAGTTACGGATTTTGGCAGTTATTAGAATTTGGTGATCAAAATGGGCTACAGATGGCACAGAGAACTCTCTTCTTATGGCAACACTTCCCATGCTTTCACCATTAGCATGCGGAGAGTCATAGGAGAAGGAAATTAGTTTATCTCATGATTTTTAAGTAGATTAAAAACTTTTAATCTGGGAAGCTATTTGAAATTGAAAACTATATTCAACATAGTTCATGGTGGAAATTCAAAAAAAAAAAAAATTTTGACGGTTAAATATGAAAAATATTAAGAAAGGGGAAAATATCATAGTACATTTCTATACAACTGAGAAGAGGAGAAGGGTCAAGACCTGGAGCCGGCCATCTTACCAGATGGCGTATTCAAGCATTGTAATTGCAAATCAAAGAAAGTAGAGCATTAATTTTCTATCGAGTAAAAGAAATACAATATCTTATATTCATACATTATAAAATTTATTTTTACCTTTTACATCGATTATTTCCAGAAATAGCTTCATTTTTCAGAACTAAGAATGTTTTTATCTATAGGAAAGTTATATAAACATTGTTTTCTGCACATTGTATTAGATTAGTCTACCTAACTGAAAGAAATTTATAAAATCAAGAAAACATTTATAAAAATTGACACCAATTTGTGGCTAAAAAGATTTTTTAAAAAAAACGCCATTATATCTGGGGAATAAATTATTGTCCAGACACAATTAAAAAGGTGAAATCGTAAACTAAAATACATTATTTATGATAAGATAAGGTGCTTTTTTCTTGTCAGAGTGATTTATCGTATGGTGGACTTACTGAATATACCTTTAATACCTCTAACTTTGACTTAAAGAACATGAAAGACATGTCAAAAATCAAGACTTGAAACTATCTTCCATCATCCTACATAGGTGAAATTCTAATCATAGGTTTGAGTTCTTTTGTTTATTTTTCTTTTAGTAAAATCATTCAAATTTGTTCTTCATCTACTGAACTTAATTTCTGTGAATCATTCCATATTTTGAAAAATCTTAATAATTTAGTTAATGATTTTTCTAGTATCCCACTTTTCTTAATGTATGAAAATCTATTCTAATTTTTTCTTTTGTCCTCTGGGGTTCCAGTCAAACCCCCTTGCACCTTTCTTTTTACTATCTTGTTCAAACTTGTTCCTTTACCCTGATTAGTTAAACCACTTTGCACATGTTTATATTGTTACTTTTCTAATGTCATTTGGTGTTCAGACACAGAGACATCAGCTTTTTATTGAAAATGTTTATGAGTATATTTTACTATAAAAAGATAATTTTATGATGCTAAAATAAACTTTTCATCATAACCAGGAAAATCTATAAAAATAAAAACTTTTAAATCAAATGACTACCTCCTATTTGCTACATGTAATTCACTGACTACCTGATAGAGTAAATCAGATATTGTTTAGTAATCAGTACTTTAACATTTTAAGATTTTATCGTGTCATTCATGGCACGATGAGAAAGAAAACTTTAGTGTCCTAAAATTGTGTTTTCATTATTTAACTTATTAATTTGTGGAATTATTCAATTTTTAAATTATTTCAAAAAATAAAAATATGAAACCTGCATTCATAAAATAACTGGCTATGGTATTTCAGCCACACAAAAAAATTTAATCAGAGTATACTTTATAGACTGATCATGCAAAACTTGGAAAGAACTTTAAAACAAGTCTGTTGATAGAACATCGTTTAAAGCAGTTTACTCCATTGCAATAATCTATACATATATATATATATATTAGAATAAACTTCAACAGAGAGAACTTGGAAGAAAAAAAAAATTACTACATACTTAGGCGGTTAGTGGTACCAATTCCCTTAAATTTATGTTAAGAAAAATTAAGTGACTTTCATTTACTTCACCTTATTAAAAGTAATTATTCTTGACTTAAAGTCAGTGATGTGAATTTCTAATGCTACAGAGTTCTTCCTAGGAATAAAAACAGGGCAGGGTGCTACCTCTTTCAAACGGGCACTTTGTGTTTTAAAAGGGCACTCATTTAACATCATAAATATTTATCAAAATGTGTAATATTATGTAATAATTGAATATTATGCTCAACAATGTTTAAATTATCCTCTCATACAATTTTATAAGTATATTTCAAATGGTAATTCCTTCTCATAATCAAAATAAGAGAAAAAATTTGTAGTTTAGAAAAATAATTAAAGGCATGCTAAAAGGCAATCTCTGTGCATATATATACATATACAGTCAAACCCCGCTATAGTGAACCTTCAAGGGACCGAAATTTTGGTTCACTATAACCGGGAGTTCACTATATCCGTTATGTGGGCAATTTCACTATATGGTTCCCAAATTCCTCCCTTTTATTACACGTTATTCAAATAAATGACTGAAAAATATTACGCAGTAGCAAAAAATTTGTTATTTTTTATTACTCTTCGTCCTGCGTACAAAAAAAAAAATTAGTAATCTTTAGCTGTTGAGCATTCCTCAACATCAGATATGGAAGCATTTCCCGACTCTCAGATAATTTTTCCTGAATTTCTGTTAGTCCACTTTTTAAACTTGTCTAATCTGCCATTCGAGCAAGCACATAAAAGTAATCTCATAAAATCGCTTAGCAAATTCATCGACATTTGTCCAGATACTGGAAGATTGCGGCTTCTTTGAATGCTGAACCACTTCAGTAATGCTTCTTCAATATCCTTGTGATCTGCTTTTCTCAACTTTTTTCTGCCATTTAAATTTTTTTCATGAGCAGAANATATATATATATATATATATATATATATATATATATATATATATATATATATATATATATATATATATATATATATATATATATATATATATATATATATATATATATATATATATATATATATATATATATATATATATATATATATATATATATATATATATATATATATATATATATATATATATATATATATATATATATATATATATATATATATATATATATATATATATATATATATATATATATATATATATATATATATATATATATATATATATATATATATATATATATATATATATATATATATATATATATATATATATATATATATATATATATATATATATATATATATATATATATATATATATATATATATATATATATATATATATATATATATATATATATATATATATATATATATATATATATATATATATATATATATATATATATATATATATATATATATATATATATATATATATATATATATATATATATATATATATATATATATATATATATATATATATATATATATATATATATATATATATATATATATATATATATATATATATATATATATATATATATATATATATATATATATATATATATATATATATATATATATATATATATATATATATATATATATATATATATATATATATATATATATATATATATATATATATATATATATATATATATAAATATATATATATACAGTCAGGGACCCCTAATCCGGCAGGACCCGAAATTTCGGCACATAATCCGATCTTCTTTTTTTTTTAAGAAATTTTTGAAGAGAAAAAAAATCAGTTATATTCTCTTTCTGTTTGGAATTCTATTCTGTTGAAGTAAGCAACTTTATTTTATCTTTTAAAAGTAAAAAAAAAAAAGCATGAAAAAATATCTGTGTCAAAGGAAACATCTGTTTCAAAAGCAATTTAAAATAAAGTGAAAGGGAAAAGTAAAAACACCTGCTTTCCAAGGAACAAAATAAAGAGATGCAAATTGGAAGAAACTGATCAATCAATCTGACACCCTTTTGACATTGAAACTACCATGTGGGATACAAAACGAATTCTATCCCTTTGGCTGTTTTTTTTATTCGATGTAAATTATACTCTTTTGTTTTTTTATTAGTTACTAACTACTAATTTTTTTTGTTAATTGATATCTTGTTTTTACCATATTTAGTTGTCAGCTTGTTTTTTTTTATTGTTATTAGTTGTTAGCTTATAAAAAAATTTTGTTAGCTTACAAAAATTTATATTGTTATTTCTATTATATAGATTATTATTCTAATTAATGAAATTTCTTAAGATGAAACAGCTTCAAATTTACCCCATCATAATCTACGTTCAAAACATAACTAAATTTATTGGAATTAATTAATTTTCTGAAATTAACAGTATAATTGAATTAGCGTAATATATGGGTGCAATATAGGAATTTCTGTCAGAGATCTGAAATTCGGTAAATTCCTAAATACGGAATTTCGCCGGTCCCGTGAGTGCCGGATTTGGGGTCCTATACTGTGTATATGTATATTTTTTTTTTCTTTCAAATAAAGTAAATGCAAAAAATTATTAATTGATAAACATGAAAGCTTTTTTCTATAACTTAAACTGAAAATTATGAGAAAATCAACATTTAGAGATGCAATTTTATTTTTTTTTAAAAATGTATTTATTTAAAATTTTCAACTTTAAAATCACTCTAAAAACGTTTTAATAGTCGTCGTCCCCCCCTGAAAAAATAAACTTTTAAAAATTTAACCAGTTGAGAATATTCCTATCAAAGTAAGAAAGTATTTATTTGCAACAGTAATCGGAATTAAACCTATAAGCACAGATAATTTTACCAGTGTGTAATTAATTTTTTCAGTAAATAAATTTTTTTCAAAGTGGAACCTGAATAAAAAAGGCTGTGTTTTTAAGGGATGGCGACTTAATTTTACAAAGAGGGTACATTTATTTGGATCAAAAAGAAAGCAAGGAGGTCGGCACTTCAAAAACTGCTTGGGGAGAACACCACAGCATATAATTTCTAAATCAATTTCAGCATAGCCTTATGAAAGATATTGGAATATCAAATTACACATTTTAAAAACTAAATAGTTTAAGTAATGATGATGTTAAAGGTAACAAGCTAATCTCCTTTACTTTATTTCTGTAAGTTTAGGAATTGTGTAATTTTTGTTCAATTTTATAAAATTTGACCCCATAAGAATAAAAACAGTTGGGAAAGTGTCAAATTGCCGTTTGGCAAATCTACCATTTATTTTAAAAGGCTTAAAAATTCAGAAAAGTGAATAGAAATAACAATTCTTTGAACTAACATAAGGCACTCTCATTATGCTGAAACTCTCTGCTTATGTGCTTAGATAGAATTGATGTCACTCATAACTAGGGCTGCAGGTTTGTCGCGGCGCGAATTTCCGCGAAATTGTCATCTTTTTTCCTAAAATTCGCGAATTTCTCAATATGGCTTGACTTGCGCGAAAATTGCTTAAAATTTCATTTCTTTCTTCATTTTTTATTTATTATTTTTATTAAACAGAATTTTTTATTTTCCTGAACCTTAAATTGAACATGTAAAATTGATTAGATATTTAGGGGAGTGAATCAATAGCAAAATGACATGAAAATAGTTCAGAGATAAGAGATAATCACAATCTTGTCAACTAAGGTGGTCTTTCTACACTTAGGGAGGGTAATTACCTTCCTGAAGTCAGTAAGAGTACAAAAGAAATTGGAATCACAAAGGAAGGAAAATGTTATAAATCAAATCTTTGACAGAAAAATTGTTATACATGCTATTGCACTGGGCAACGAAATTTCTACTGCCTTTCTACATATTCAGTTAATTTTTCCTAGGCGGCTTCTTGTGATCTCTTAAATATGGATCAGTTTCTTAGATGAGAGGGACTAGTAGTTAGTAGGGACTTGTAACTAGAAGTTTGAATGTAGAATGTTTGAGTTTTACAGCATTTACTTCTTACAAAGCAACGGCCAAGGAATTGCGCGTTGGTGAAGGAAAATTGATCGAGTTTTGGAAATCAAAGGCCGAACGCTCCAAAATTGGCAATTGGATGTTTGTCGGTGCCTAAAAACAGCGTTGACGCAGAAAGATCGTTTTCTAAGTATAAAAATGCATTAAGTGATGAAAGACGAAGCATTAATGAGAATAATCTGACAATGTACAATACTTTGTACCAAAATTCTGTTCATTTAAATAAAAATATTAATATTGCTTGAAATTCAAAGAAATACTTTTGTTGCGTATTTTTAAGCTTTTTTTATTATTTGCGCAATTTCTGTCTTTTGCATTATTTAAAATTTTTTTATGTCTAGAATTTGTGTAATTTTCAAAATTTCCCGCGAATTTGGGGTCTTTTTTTCCCGCGACAAACTTGCAGCCCTACTCATAACCATGCCTTGTTCTAGGCAAACACAATTTTTGAGTGTTAATTAAAAAATAACTAGCCATCAAATTAATGTGATATAATAAAAATAGCCTTTTGAATACTTTATTAATGATTTTCAATTGTCTAAATGATCAATTTTAAGAATAGATTATTTCTCTATTATTGAAATTTATTCAAACTTGACAATTGAATGCTTTTAAGAGTTAGTATCTTTATAATAAAAAGAAGATGTGCCTGAAAAAATTCTAACACTGCACTTGAAAAATATCTAAACACAGTTTACAACTTTGCAGTTAAAAAATCTGATTCCTTGGACTTAATAAACATATCATCAATGATTGCAACATTAAGATTATGAAAGAAAAACTTGATCAAAAATACTAATGAAGGTAAACCAATAATCGATTTTTTGTTATACATTTTGCTATCAATAATTTAAAATTATTCTGAAATTAACTTCACATAAAGTAAATAACAAATGAAGCAGACTTTCATTGTTTCATAATAATCATTTTGATTTGTGTACAAACACTGCATACTATCATACAATGAATATATCATCTTGCCTATATCCCAGTATAGACAAATACACATTTTTTAATTAAAATTTCTGCTGTAACTCTATTTAATGTTTCACAATAAATAAGAATAAAACTTAAAGATGGAGAAAAGAAACTTTTGATTACCTCGATTTTTATTGCATGAATTTATATTACTTAATTATTATCGCCAGTAATTAGCAATAACTATTAATAAGCAATGTTTCAACTTGCAGTTGCACTACAGTCTCAAAATATATGCTTTTATGTTAGATCCCAATATGTTCTTTTCATTCCCACCAACTAATTCAGACCATTGCATTCAGACCAACTAAAACTCATTAGCTTATTATACACTTAACTTAAATATAAATGTATAAACCAGTAAAAGTTTTTAGAATAAATAGATTGTTCAATAAAAAGGCAAATAAAAAAAAATTTCAAAATGGTTATGAATCCTTACAAACTTACTTCATTAATGAGAAATTGATCAGTGCCTATAACAGCAGAACAACCAGATGTTTGTAAATGAGATACAACAGCTTTAAGTAGAAGTGACCAATTTAAAAATATACTATAAGAAGCTGGGCTGGTCTAAAAGTAAATATGACAATTAAGAAAAATATTAAAATAACAAGTAAAGATATCTTGAACAACTAAAGTGTATTTAAACCACACACAAAAAATAATATAAATAATTAAATTATTATTTATTTAATTTTAAATAAAAACAATTATAAATTACTCTAAGCCTCATTGCCTTCAATGAATACTTGAAATGCAAAGTTTTACTTAATGGTTAGATAAGTAGTCTCTCAACACTAAATAGCAGCAGAATTGATTTCCTGGCATAGCTAGTGATTTACAACCATATCAAACATTAAATTCTAAATTTCAGTCAAGTAAAAGGGCTTTATTTGCATTGTCAACCATCCTCACACTGACTGCAGCCAGTGATGCTTCACTTGGGCGATCTATTGGGAACCCTATCTCATTATCAATCTACTATAGGACAAATTTCAGTCAAACATTGGAACAAATATGAAAACTATTAATCTAATTTATTTCAAGTTTCACTTACAAATTAATGCTGCTTGACATGCATTATAAGTAATTACAAAAATAATAAACAAATGTGGCAAATTATTTTTTGAAATAAATTATCTTTGAATTCATAAACTTTATGACTATGAGTGAAAAAAATAAATAACTTTACTTATGAAAAAAGTATTGTGAATCAGTGGCGTAGCAAGCCAAACTCGCGCCCGGGGCACAATACCCTATTAGCGCCCCCCCCCTCATTCGAAAACCATATAATATTATATNATTCACTTAATAATAGAATCGTCGAGTAGATGTAGTAAGTAATCTTATTTGATTTATTACTTACCAAGAATGCCTTTAACTTGAAAGGTAGTATCATAGTGAAATATACAATATAATTTATGCTGACATTAAACTTATATTATAACATTTAATAACATTTCATTTTTATTCTAAGCAGAGCGCGATGACAAGGACATGAATTAAATATTGAAATACATTTAATATGAATTTAAGATAATATTTAATATGAATTAAATATTATGAATAATATTTATGAATTAACATTTATTATATTACACTGGCACTAATTTAAAATATATTTTCCAGAAATTAATTATAATAAAAAAAAAATTATCCAGCAATTTTTTGTTTTGCGGACCACTTGGCGCCCCTTTGTGAGTAGCGCCCGGGGCATGATGCCCCCCCTTGCCCACCCCTCGCTACGCTACTGTTGTGAATACAATTGTGACTACTCTACCTGCATAAAAAGGTACCTGCTTTGTAAAAGCAAGAGTACATTTTTGAGTCTGATTTACATTTTTTAGTCTGATTGAGTAACTTATTTCATTAATTATAAAATATTGTTTACATTAATTATTTAGCACATTCTAGATGCATTTCTCCTGAGTCTTAGATATTGCATCTTAGTATGGGAAAATTCAAATAGATCAAAAATTATTAGGGATGTATCATTTCTTTCTGCTTTGCTCAAGTTATCAGAGAGATAAAATTAATTATGTAACTAACAATATATCCTTTCTGTTTTCTAGAAAAGTGTTGTTGTATAAAACTACAAATTTATCAAATCAACAGCATAAAATATTATCAAATTTAAGTTCAAGTACATTGAACTTGAACTTAAATTTGATAGCAAAATAACCATATTTAAATCAAATATTTGGTTTGACTATAATTGTTAAGCCACAATAGTGCTTAAACTGAATGCCATAAGCTCATGTTGTCTTCTCTAATGCTAATATACATGCTGGATATCAGTCCTAGGGAAATGGTTGTCTAATAACTCTTTCTTTATAGAAAGCCACAAAAAATGGAGTCAATACTAGTTTTCACTTCCTGAAGTCAAACACTATGTAAATAAAACTATAAAATCAGCCAGGCCAGTTCGAAGTGTAAGTCTAGTAAGCGGCTACGTAGCGTGCCATATACAGGGGGTGCCAAAGTGTGGTACGGCTAGCTTAAAAGAAAAAGCTTCTTAAAATCTTATTTCATCTCTTTCTTAAAGCATCTTTTTTCCCACTTGCTTATTGAAAGCAACAGTTAAAACGCACTTATTTTCCTAAAATGAAATGTTAAAATATATCTCATATTTTGGCAACCAATAAACCAAAAACTGTGTAGCATTCCTAGTTTTATCTCTTTTCATCAGTGCCGGTGACATCCTTCCTTGTGATCTGCAAATAAAGATGACGGTTGACTATTGAGTTAAATACAGGTTACTATTAAGTTTAATGTTACTTCAAGAAAACCCTTTACAGGAGAGAGGAAATAGCTGTGCTTTTAATAATGTCATCTCTCACAGTGTTCTAAAAAAAATTTTGAAGATAGGTGCTTTCTCTGTAAAGAAAATAGAAAGTTGCAAACATTGGTGCAGCATTGACCTATTCATAAAAATCATTGATGCAAAATTTATAAGAAAAATATACTTAAATTTTCGATGCCGGATGACGAAAGATTTTTGCTAACACAGATCAAGAAGTTTTTAATTGAGTAATAGCTTACTGCTTCAATTTCTTGGGATTATTTATTTAACTAACTAAATAAATTAACTTCTCTCAATTTCTATGAAGTTGTTGGAAGAGTATAACACTTCCTTCGATCTTAACTTTCCATCCTAGAACTATTTATACTTTATGATTTCTGTTTTTGTAAGAAATGTATTTATTTCAAGAACAGAGCGCAAAAAAATAAACAAATCAAGCTGATAACTTTTGATCTGATGATCAGATTTTCACATTCTAAGACCCAATCTTCATGGTTTGAGGAGGATTTTTCATATATGCAAATTAATTAGTGCAGATGATATTTTAAGTTATGAAATCAGTCACAAAAACGTACTTTCACTTAATGAACTTAGCTTTTTTTTGACGTATAAAGATTTCTGACACCCAAAATATAGGGAATAGCTGCAATTCAGGAAATATGGGCTGAATAGTTCAGTCGGGAGAGTGGGCCAAAGTTTGGACCCTTTAATGCTAATTTTACGTTTTGTGTATCTCGAGAACTCTCCGAATAAATTGAAAAATATTTGCAATCAATTATAAAATTTATTTATAAAGATAATTTCCATGCAAAAAATAACTTTTAGCAAATATTTATAATCTCTTATTATTTTATTAATAATTCTCAAAAAAAAAAATTTTTATCTGTAAGATAGATAATTTTTAACAGCATTTTCAAGAATGCAATTTTAAACGGCAAAACACAAAATCTGAGCATAATTGGTCCTGTGAAATCCAAGTTCCAGCTATTCATTGTGGTCCATACATTTTTGTGCGCAAATACCTTATTAACTATTACAGAGCTTAATAATTCCATTACTTTGTTCAGTAGAATTTAAAAGAAAAGTATATCATACAAATAGTTTGTACTGCATTTTTATAAAGATATAAAAACTGCAGATTTTGACTTATTTTTAAAATTGTAAATAACATTTATTTTACTCCGTTCACATTTACTATCTTTAATGGTGACGAGCACAAAAATATTTTTGTTTGCACACGAAAATCAGCTTGGACCGGCCCTGAAATCAGCAGGTAGTTTACAATAAAATCTTAAACTAAAACCACTCTAACATAATGTTGTGCCAGCTGATTCTGGTCAAATGTAAAAGTATCTAAAATTTAAATTTTTTAGTGTTAAATAACAATCTAAGAGACATGATTTAAGAAAACCAATAGACTAATTTATTCTTACTTACTTTACTAACAAAGTTAAATTGCTTTATCATTGACATGAGTTCAGAAATATCTNTTTGAAAATCGGTGAATTTTCTGAAAAAGCGGAATACTTATTAAAAAAAGTGAAATTTTTAGAAAATCTGAATTTTTGATAAAAAAGCTGAAATCCGCTAAAAAGCGGAAAAATCTCATCCCTGAAATCAGCTCGGACAGGCCCTGAAATCAGCAGGTAGTTTACAATAAAATCTTAAACTAAAACCACTATAACATAATGTTGTGCCAGCTGATTCTGGTCAAATGTTAAAGTATCTAAAATTTAAATTTTTTAGTGTTGAGACATGATTTAAGAGACATGATTTAAGAAAACCAATAGACTAATTTATTCTTACTTACTTTACTAACAAAGTTAAATTGCTTTATCATTGACATGAGTTCAGAAATATCTTCAGCTAAGGCTGTAATATCATTCAATGAGGTATCCATTGGAAACTATAAAATGAAATTTATAATTAATATATTCCTAATTTTAAAATCACAAATGAAATAAATAGCTTTAAATGACAAAATTGTGATGTATTGTCTTTCCAGCAGATGGTGATTCACTTCACAACCTGATGTATATTCAATATATAACCTTGAAAACTAGGATTTCAAAAATCTGAAACCTCCAAAAACCAGACAATTTTTTAAACTCTAGTTTTGTTTGTTTTTTTAAAAAAGAAAAGAAAGAGAACATGAGCTAAATTTATTTTAAACTGAAGGCACAGTGCGGCCCAATATTTTTAATAAAAAAAGCTTTCGTTCAAATGCACAACTTGAAATTCAATTTGCGTGTCATAATACTATTGTAGTATTATAATATCAGGATTGATTTTTTTTTTTTAAAGATGTATGCAAAATTGTAGTGATAACTTCTTTAAGAGCAATCAACAAAACCATGTCAATTTACAATGAAAATATTCCAAATTGAGCACGTGAAAAAGTGATGGCTAAAAAGCACAACTCAAAACATAATTTGCATTTAAAAATACTATCATATTTAAATTATCAGGATTTTAAAAAAAAAACACATGGAAATCATAGAAAACATTTTTGAAAAAGAGTTTGGCAAAATCATGTTGATATATGATGAAATCTTCTTATATTTAGCATGTAAAAATTTGACTATTTAAATGTGCAACTTGAAATTCACTTATTGCATCATAATACAGGATATTTAAAAAATTGGGATTTTAAAAACCATGTGAAAAACGATCGACACGACTATGTAGTTTTACAATAAAAGCTTCCGTAACTAAGCATGTCAAAAAATGCTCAGATAAGCAATTCAAAATTCAACTTGTACGCCGAAATACTGTTTATTTGAAAATATTGGCGTTTAAAAAAGTGTACAGAAATTTGAAGCAATAATTGCCTAGAAAATTACCATGCAGACTGAGGATGAAGTAATCCAAAATTGAGCAGGTCAAAGAGTAGCACTCAAGTGGTTACTCAAATGTGCATGTCATAATGCTACGGTACAAGCATTAGTATTTTAAAATAATTCTGAGCAACAACCAGGATTTCAAAATCTATGAGGAGATTTGTAGAATAATTTTTGAAAAATGGCAGGAATTTTAGATTTGAATCTAATGCATTATTTTCTTTTCTCATTTTCAATGTCTCTATTGATTTAAGTCAAGAAATTTCTATAATCTTGATCTTTTCAGTCTCTAAACAGTCTGGATTTTTAAAGTTATAATGCATTAGAGTTATTAAATTATATAAATGCTTCCATTCAAATATTTGTGGTCTGGGCTTTACTCAAAGGCAAAGGAAAATAAAGATAATAATCCTGGGTTTGCAGAAACCCCCGGTTGAAATTCTTTACAAAATGGGGAAAGTAAATTTTTTAATGTAAGCATGCCGTATATATATATACCGAGATAGTAAATTACTCAAAATCAGTGTCCTTAATTTTTGACAAAATTTTATCCTTAAATTTAATTGTTTTGACTTCTAGCCCTAATTTAGGTGTTGTGTATTTACTTTAAGAATTTTAATGTTTACAGATAGTTTTTTACCACTATGTTAAAAAAATTATATATATTATGGTTAAATATATAATTTTAATATTACGGATAGCAGAACTATTTTGGAAATGAAGAAAAAATATTTAGGTACCATTGACGCCTAACAGTCACATACTAATTTCTAACCCCAGGTTCTGTATATAAGGTGCTTGATTAACTTATAAAAATCAAGATGGTCGATCACATACCATTTTTGAAAGAAAAAAGTTCCGAGTGAATTTTCAGATACTTGAGTTCCTAATGAGTCTCAAAACTTTGGAAGATAGAGTTGACTTTTATTGCACGGTTTTTGACCCACGCACAAACCTAATAAAACCTGGGCTCAAATGGGTTTTTTTATAAACATTAATTCACGATCACTCTGTTTCTGGGGTAAATAATGATCACCAAAGTTTTATTTAAAAAAATAATTTTTTTCTTAAATTTGAGATTTGGATAAGAATGCTTGTACACTTTACTAAAGTATAACTACATTTATTTAATAACAGTTTTTTGCTTAATCTTACAAAATAAGTATCTTTTAAAATGCTTTCTGTATTTTCCATTTCAAAGATGGGTTTCAAAATGTGCACATTTCTGCAAAGATCCCCCTCCTTCTCTTAATAATAAATATTTTGAGTTACTTTCTTTTTCTTTGATATAAAAATAGTGTAGGCTTTTGCTTAATTATTTCACATCTACTGTAAACATTATAATTGATTATAGGAAACTATATCAAATGTTGCCCCCTACAGATGGGGTAATTATTGATCACTGGGGTAATTCCTGATCATTGTCATTTCTTCTTATAAATAGTATAAAAAATAGCTAATAAATAGTCAATTGTCTTTTCTTAAATAACAGTTCATAATTATTAAGTGGAACAACTGTAAAATATATTTTAACTATAATCACAAAATTTGTTTTTAACTGTATACAAGAAAAATGTGTTCTGATATGCACCATTTCTAGATTGTCTTACCTTGCTTCTATCTTAATTTTATGTGTGCACATTGTTGGAATAATTTTTAAGTTGATAAATTAACGTAATATAAATATGGTGAGAAATTATAAGCTTAAAAAAGGATACTAAGCTTCTAGAAATCAAAAATAGTGAATTTCTTTTAATGATTGAAAATGAAAATTTCAGTGTGAGAGCTACTGCCAGAGCTGAAGTGTTAATCTTTATTCCTGATTTTAAATAAAAAGTTTTATTAGCTGCTTAAACATATCTTTTTGGTTTATTTGTTTGATCTTAATGTCTTATTTGCTAATTACCATTGCATGATTATTTTTAAACAGCCCATTTACTATAAAAACTGGTGATCAGTAATTACTCCAGAAATGATCAGGATTTACCCCAGAATTGATCAAGAGAAGGGGTAATTCCTGATCACTAAAAATTTAAAATCCTTTAAATTCTAATTAGATTTTCAAACAAAAGAAGGTAGCATAGGGCTCATCTCATATAGTCTCAAACTTCCAGTAAATATTAAAATCCTATCTTGAATAGTTTTTTCACAAAATAGATGGTTGCATTTTTTGATCAGGAATTACACCAGGTCACCCTAATCCAAATATGCTCATGCATATCATTTGTTATTTTTTATTTGATTTAGAAATATTAATACACAAATATACATAATCCTACTTTCAAAATGTAGTGTATTTATATAAATATGTAACTTTGAATTAATATAATAATTTTTCTTGCTTCAACATTAAGAAAAATAAATTTTTCTTAAACAATAATTTGAACTTTCTTAATGTTATTTGTTTTGAATTTAAAAGATGCAGAGTACAGGCTGGAATAACTTTGTCCTTTTATCTCCTTAATAAATAGGTTTTCAACTATGAATAAAATAAGTATGCATATTTATTCTAACAAAATATTAAAATTAATACTGTTTTAATTCTTTTCAGAAGAAAACTTTTATTTTATAAAATATACAATTGGATGGATTAAAATATTTTATTGATAGTTTTATTTTAATGCTACAAAATAATCATTTAAATATAAAAATTCATTAAATTTCGAACCATGATAAAATATTGAATAATATGAAATTAATGTTAACTTATTTTGCATTATAAATGTTATTTAATGAAAGTTCACATGATTGATTAATCCTTCAATCAATAGATCACAGCAAAACTTATTCTAAATACATAGTTTAAAGACCAATTCAAAAAACTATTAAGGAATTTGTTAGATAAAAGTAATCATGTAGTTAGTTGGCCTGTAAAAAAAACTTACTTTATTTTAACAACAACAAAAAATTTAAATTATTAACTTAAGTATTTAACAATTTATTTAATTGTTCTAACCGGTTTTTGGTTCATAACTTTTAATTTAAATTGTTTACATAAGACAAATTTAGTTTTAGCCACTTTTCCATTTTGATTCATTATTTTAAAGCTTTTTTCTTAATTTTCTTCTTCTTTTTTTATTAAAATTTGCTTAATTTAATTTCATACTTTGATTGGATTTAAGAGCCTCTTATTAATACCAGCATAAAAAGATGGTACTACATAAATATTAAAGCTATTTTTTTATTTTAATTCGTTATTTAAATATTTTCTAATAAAAGTTTCCTTTTTGACTAAAATTGTTCCTTTTGAATTAAAAATTAAACCTAAAAAGTGTTAAACTAGGTGATGTTTTAAAAAATCCAATAAAACACGAAAAAGTTCAATAAAACTCACCTGGGTTGGGTTTTTTTAAACCCTGTTTTATTACCAAAATGGTCACTGTCACCAAACTAAAATGTGGGTTTTTAAGAATGATGCATCAGAGTAAACGAAAATTACAACCTAACATATGCAAAAAATAAAAAAAAATACATATTTTCATTTATAGAACATTTATCATGATGTACAGTGCTATTTATGAACAAGTAGAAATATTTTCAAAGGATTAGAGAATAACTTACTTGAAAACTTTTAATAGAATTCACTGTTTTTCTTATATGTTTGTCAATTAGTAAATGATTATACAATATGATGGGATAAGTGAATTGAATATGATTGAATATTATTCCAAAACACAAACACACATTCCTGGTATCTTTTATTGAATTTGCGCATTTCCAAAATCCAATATGAAATAAAACAGCTACTAAAATTTTATTTTCCGATATATAGAGTCTGGAAGACCATTCGTCAAATCTCCTACAGGAATCAACTTCACCTAACAATAGCTGTCCACACATTTCTGTATATATTTTCATTAAAGATAGATCTATATTTTGACCTATATTTATAGATTTACAGTTTTTAGACATATTAAAATCCTGTAAAACTTTATCGGGTACTGATATCATAGTATTAAGAGATTTGTCTTTAAGAAGCCACAATTTCTCAATTTGAGGACCCATTATGTGGTCCCAAGATGATAAAATGACACCCTCCATGATTATTATTAAGCACAGTAGATAAATATAATAATAGATCTTTAAATCATTGACTTAAAGTCTGAAAAACAACCTACAGGTTTTGGTTTACAGGTTATGTTATAGTATATGGAATTACGTGCCTTAAAGAAGTTATATTTAATACATTTTCAGACTCAATTTATTATTAAGGAAAATAAATAAAATTCATCTACAGAAAAATTTCTTTTCATTAATTGCGTTATTTATCACAGCAACTAGCTATTTAATACATTATTTATATTTACTTTTTAACACACAGTGACACATTTATGATTGTTTATTTACATATGAGTCATGCTTTTGGCCACCAGAATAAGTAGAGGCCTTTTCACTTCCCTTCAAACCTTCAGTATCAGTCATGCCAAAAATATAGAGCACCTCCACCCGCATTCCACGAATGGTGTTTTCTACACTAGGAACGCTGCAAGCTGCCTACCGCCTATACTTCCGGGTTACTGTTTTCGATGTATTTTAAAGTTATTTGATTCACAACCGTGATCATTGTGTTTAGAGAATCTTGCAAACGTGGTATTTGATTACTTATTACTTGTGTTTACAATACTAACAATCAGGGCCGGATTAACCTATAGGCACACTAGGCATGTGCCTTGGGCCTACGAAATTCAGGGGCCTAGGAAAAACTTGGCAGAAAAAAATTTAAAAAAAAAAATCAAACGTNTGTTTACAATGCTAACAATACTTGTGCTTACGATGCTAACACCAACGTAAGATGGTGCACAGCTTGCAACAAGAACAAACAGTAATAAACAAATGTAAAGAGGCCAAGTCAGGACTGCCAACAAAGCGAACTATTCAAAATCTAGCAACCATGTCACGTTTTCTAACGATATAGGCTATATGACACGAGGCAACCTAGTTGAAAACAACAAGCGGTTTCGGTGAAGTTGAAACGTATCATATGATGGTTGCCCGGTTGCTTTCAACTAGAAAACTGAAGTTAAAACCTTTCAACTTTAGTGGAGCAACCACAGATTAGTTGAAACGTGTCATATAGTAGTTTCCAAATACTTTCAAAATTAACTAGCAACCATTTAGTAAACAAAATACACGTGCTGATTCTGACGCATCCTGAATTTTTATCTTTTAAATTTGAACTTGGTTTAATTTTCTAACTATGACTAGTTTTAAATGAAATTCTAGTGATATATGTATTCTTTTTTTTTTCTGAAATTTTTCAAACCTATCCTTGTCTTTGGGTCATAAATAACAAAGATTATGCGAATAAACTAATTCCCTATGAACTAATTTTCTCTGTGGAGATATTAAAAGTTACAAATTATTATTGAATTTTAAAAGTGAAAAAAAAACTAGCATATTACTAATTGCAAANGTGTTTACAATACTAAAAGTGTTAACACCAACGTAAGATGGTGCACAGCTTGCAACAAGAACAAACAGTAATAAACAAATGTAAAGAGGCCGAGTCAGGACTGCCAACAAAGCGAGCTACTCAAAATCTAGCAACCATGTCACTTTTTCTAACGATATAGGCTATATGACACGAGGCAACCTAGTTGAAAGCAACTAGCGGTTTCGGTGAAGTTGAAACGTGTCATATGATGGTTGCCCGGTTGCTTTCAACTAGCAAACTGAAGTTAAAACCTTTCAACTTTAGTGGAGCAACCACAAATTAGTTGAAACGTGTCATATAGTAGTTTCCAAATACTTTCAACCTTAACTAGCAACCATTTAGTAAACAAAATGCACCTGCTGATTCTGACGCATCCTGAATTTTTATCTTTTAAATTTGAACTTGGTTTAAATTTCTAACTATGACTAGTTTTAAATAAAATTCTAGTGATATATGTATTTTTTTTTTTTGAAATTTTTCAAACGTATCCTTGTCTTTGGGTCATAAATAACAAAGATTATGCGAATAAACTAATTCCCTATAAACTAATTTTCTCTGTGGAGATATTAAAAGTTACAAATTATTATTGAATTGTAAAAGTGAAAAAAAAAACTAGCATATTACTAATTGCAAATGTTTAAATATTTGAAAATTCAAAATTATATAGCTTGAATGCTAAGCTTTTTAAACTCATATTTCTTTGACAGATATTTCCGAGTACTAATGAAATTTTGAAAGCAAACGAAAGAAATTATTTTGTTTTTAAATCACATTTTTTCTGTTCTAGTTCTTCTTTCAGAACCTCAGCTATCAGCTCAACGCCTACTTCAAGTACATCGTCAATAATCGCTTTCATGATAATTAAAAGAGCTTTTAGCAATAAACTTCATTGAAAAATATAAGTTCTGGTATTGGACTGTTATATACTATAATAGTCCAATACCAGTGCCGTTCTGATATTGGACTATTCAGAGTTGGTTGAACAAGCGAACGTTGTAACGTGTGATCACAAACGAGAAACCTAATACCGGTTTCTTAACTTAGTTGCCAAGTGTCATCAGCACTTATCTATAAATCTCTTAAGCAAATTTTCACTTCAAACAAATATAGATCAATTCCTGCCAGTTCATCGGCTCGTCTCCTTAGTTAAAGAACTCCGTGAACTGTAGAAAGATGTGGAGGTCGTAAGACTTCTACAATTTCTCCTTAATGGGACTAATCCAGCTCAATAAAGTAATCTAGACTCCGGTCAACTTCTCCACCCAAATTAGAAGAAATTCCATCTACTTCTAATTAGACTTTCATCCTTCGTTGCTCTATCGCGCAACAACTTCGTTGAAGTGGCAAGTGCCGAAAGGCAGGTATCACAACAAATACATCTACATTAAAGCATCACTTGAAAATCACCAGAATTACTTAATAACATTAATATCTGATGAAATACGGCAGATTTGAGCTAAGAAATTATCTAATTTACTTCTTTTATTGAAAACAAAATTATCCGTTTGAAAATATCGCCTCGCAGAACTAGCTGTAGTAAGCAGTTGCAAACTTTCTATCCGGAAGTAGAGCAGGTAATGAGCTCGAGATTGTTTTTGTTTACATTTATATTGAAAATACCATCCATTCAATCCTGTTAAATTGAAAACCCGTTCCACTTTCTACCTACTTTTTTGGGGGGGGTACGTGCACTTCCTGGGGTGTTAAGTAACCAGAAACTAATTGACTGACCACTGTCTCAGGAAAGGGGGATTGGAACCCAAGGGTGCCAACTCGCTCTACAACTCATTTATTCTTTTACTTTTTCTCATTTCTTAGAAAAACTAAAAGAATTTTTTTTTAACTCTAAAACGAATTTATTTACTTTCAAAATGGTTTTATAATTTTATTTAACATGCACTTTTTCTAATTATATCCTGAATTGCTTATTATTTTGATATGATTATTTAGAGAACTAATAATAAACCCAATTATTTAAATTTATAAAATTTTACTATGTAGTCATATAAAAGTAATTCATTTAAATTAATTATTCATTTAAAAAAAATTTACAATTTCTCTATAAATCAAATAAAGTTTTTTTTTTTTAATTGATTTGCTAATTTGTAAATTTTTTCATGTTATAGTAAACCTCGAGTTCAGCAAGATTTTATTTCTATTACTTATTTAATTTTTTTTCTTTCAATTACAATTCAAATATTTTTTTTGCAACTTTTTTGTCTAATTTTAATTTTTTTTAATGATAGTTACACTGTTTTGAAACTAATTAAATTCCACCATTTTAAAAGCTATGTAGACATTTAATCCATTGTTCAAGCAAATATGGCTGCTTGCTATGTAAATTTGATTTAGATCTAAAAATTTGCAATTTGAATGAACTAAATTAACCTTCATTAGAAACTGACTTCATTTTAATTATTACTTTTGCCAACTACATTTATTATTGTATAAATATCTCCAAACTGGAATTATGATTCGATCTTTAAAAATAAACACCGAGGATAATTGATATTTATCACAAACAAATTGTTACATCAAAATTAAAAATTATTCGATTAAATAATCACAAATTTTTAAATTATATTAATACAGATCTGGTTTCCGAATATATCACTTAACTTATTCTAATAATTTAGCTCGGATACTAGCAACTTCATCCACAAACAAATATTCGAGATTTTTATTTACATACTTTCTTCTTAATTATAGTTTCTTTAAAAACTTATCGCCAAAGATATTATTTAACAATAATATGATTTTTTTTTTCACTGATATAAAACAGTTATTTATCTTAATAAATACATTTATTAAGCTGCATATTTATAAAACTGCATATTTTGAGAGAGCACAGTTTTATATGAAGTCTATTTTTAAAAAATATATAACTTATTAAAAAGCCAATATATTTTATTTATCAGCTTTTTGTTGTTAAATGGTATTTATATTTTTATCAAATAATGCTAAATCATTAAGTAATATCTTGTGATTACTTTACATAATAAAGGAATGTCATTTTTAATTTTAAGTCCTTAACTTAAAATTATTAAAACCATAATAATTATAACAGAGAATAATGTTGAAAGTGGGTAATAAAAGCATGTATGCCAAGGTCATGCACGGTTGCCAGACTGTGAAATTAAGAAATACTACAGCTTTGTCTGAAAAAATACTTAATATTTTTAAGCGCCCTCTACTGCGTTATTTGAAACTTTAAATAATATTAAAAGGATAAAATACTATTTAAAGCATATAAAATATTAAAATTAAAAAAATATTAATTAATAGAAAAAATTAAATTATCATCACAAATAAGAAATATGATAGTTTGTATTTTTAACTGATAATAATGTTTTTATTTTAAATTGAGTATGTATTATTATACTAGGTTAGTAAATCTCGCATGATTTTGTATTCTCTAAAATGAGTCAGTAGAATTAGATTTTTTTTTTCACATTTATATTATCTTACAACTAATAATATTTTCCGTTTTTTTACTTTTAAAGGTTTGAAAAATCTATGTAATATTTGTAAAAAATGTATCATGAAAAAAAAAGGAGTGAATAATCACAGTCTTTGTTAATATATATATTTTTTTTACAGAAAAATCACTGTTTGTTCTTGTTGCAAGCTGTGCACCATCTTACGTTAGGGTTAACACTTTTAGCATTGTAAACACAAGTAATAAGTAATCAAATACATTGTTTGCAAGAATCTCAAAGCACAATGATGCCAAATGGCTTTAAAATACAACGGAAACAGTAACCCGGAAATTTAGGCGATACCGAGCTTGCAGCGTTCCCTGGTGTAGAAAACACCATCCATATTAGTCCCTGCCGAGTGCACTTTTCCCGGGGGAATTTTTATTTTATTTTATAACCGTCGTTGAACAGCCGACCCAAGTTCATGGGTTTACGACTACTAACGTTCAACTCCGTAGCCTTGTAATTTTGAACCAATCCAGAAGACAAGGAAACTCCTGGATCAGTACCCCCAGAGGTACGATTTGTTGTGGGAACATGGAGGACTTTGAGCGGTTTGGAATCGTGCATCCCGGCCCGTCCGGGGGATTTTTGAAAAACAACACGTTATTGATAGACCGGTTTTACGCACAAAAAGTGGAGTTCGCATCTTTATGTGTACTATTTTCTGACATCTCCGCCGTACAAAAGCATTGCGCGTAATCAGTGTTGTTCATTAAAAAAGCATTTTAATTTAAATTGTAATATTTTTTTTTTTTACTTCTGAAAATTAGTATATTATTTTGCATACTGCTTAAAGCTGTCTAGACATCGCGTGTAATTTATTTGTTTGTTTATTGAAGTTATAAAACCCGAGATCAATCAAAGTATGGGCAATAATATACTTCGGTTTTCAGAACTTTGGTTAATTGCAACCTGAAGGAAGGATATTAGCTGATTTAATTATAGTTACTAGTTTGAAGCATTAGTTTCGATTATAACATAAGTATAAATGCTTTTTTTTTATTTAAGTATATGATGTATGCATTTAACAGAACGAAATTTATTAATTTACTATTGTTGTTTTAAAATTTTTTATAAGATTAAGAAATAAAAATCTTTTTCATCGATTTATTACGAGTTTTTATTAATTGATTGTACATCTCAATAAATGCCTTTAAACTCCTTTTAAAGTTTAAGTCATGATGAATTAATTTGCAAGGTACAAGAACACGAATAATTATTTGAATTATTAAATACATATGTCTCCATCGAAATCTGCCAAATCATTTCTTTTTAACCCTAAATACCCATCTACCCTGCTAGTGAATTGCAATTAAGTAAATATGTATTTATTTAATGTAAATATTGAAGCATTGCTGCCTTTGATAATGTTTTTTTTAAAGAAAACAATCATATTTTGAGTTGCACGTAAAGGGAAACCACGAAAACGTCTTTCAGATTGTTTAACGTTTAAAGAATTCCAGCTAAATGCTCAGTAATCGCGATTTTTTTTTTAATAATAAATTACTTTTTAGCATCTTTGACAGACAGCCAATCATTTTTGTGAATATAACGAAATGCTCTTCTTATTTTTGTATTTTTTAACTCTAGAAATCCAAGTATCAATCAATTCAATTTAAGTATCGCAGTAAAACTTAATTTATGAAAGCTATAAAAATATAGTTTATTTCAATCGAGATTAAATTGAAATTAAAATTATCAGATTTTTTCAGATGGATTTTATCGTTTTTACGATTGTAGGTAATTACCCTTTATCTTAAAGAGGTTATATTTTAATTATCAAAATTTTTTTTTATCATCCTTGATGGACGGCCTTTGCGAATATAACGAAACGTTCTTATTATTAACTCAACCTAAAAATCGAAACAACTCGCAATTTAAGTACATTCATATTATGAAAGTTATAAGAATAATTTATTTTAATTATGATTAAATTAAAATAATCACATTTTGCGTTACGCGCAAATGAAATGTTTTTCAGATTACTTGGAGGTAATAAAATTCCAGCTGAATGTTCATTATCTCAATGAAATTATTTTTTTTAAACAACCCTTTTTGTTCTTATTATCCTTGATGGATCTTTCTTTCTGAAATCATTTTTCGGAATACAACGAAAAGCTCTTCTTATTAACTCAAAACAGAAATCAAAGTAACTAGCAATTAAGCACAACTAGTAATTAGCAACAAAAAAACAGACGCACCAAGAAGGAGTTGTCCGATTGAAACGAAAATTCGTGGATAGGAAGACAATGTACAGAATAGTAAATGATTAAAATTTCAGAACAATTGAATAATTTATTGCAGAGTTACAGTAACAAGTTCAATAAGGTGTTGACCCGCCTCTAGCCTGGATACAAGCTGCCACACGGCGTGGCATAGACCGATAAAGCTCCTGGATGGTCTCTTGCGGTATTTCCTGCCAAATTCGATCCAATTGTTGAACGAGGTCATCAACATTCCGTGCCAAATGCAATCGCCGTCCCATCATATTCAAGACATGCTCGATGGGAGAGAGATTTGGTGATCTGGCAGACCAAGGAAGAGTTTGACAAGCTTGCAGACAGTTCATAGCAACACGTGCCGAATGTGGTCTGGCATTGTCCTGCTGAAAAACCAGCCCAGGGCGCTGCAAAAGGAACGGTAGCATTTTGACAGGTCTTAGGATGCCGTCGACGTACCGCTGTGCAGTAAGTGTACCTCTAATGACCATTAAAGGGGTCCGGCTGTCAAAGGAAATGGCACCCTATACGTCCCCAGTCGGCATCATTCCAGCCTGATCGAGCCATGCACCACTGTAATCTGGCTCGGCAGTGTGCTTCTTGGTGCGTCGATTTTTTTGTTATTGAGTGTATTTATAAAAGCAATGCAACGAGAATCTGATTTGTGAAATACATGTACCTGAAAAAAATTTGTCACACGTTGGCATCTCCGAATTCGCAAATGCGATTTTTTTCAAAAGCTACTGCATGAGGGAAAAAAAAACGCACTTGCATTAAAGTAAATGTTTCGTTAGGGGCAGGTTGGAATAAACATAAGATAAACACATTGGACATAATCCACAACTTTTAAAACTATATCCTTTATCAGTTCAGCTACATAGGAACTAGCTTACCTGTATAAACCTCATACTAATTCATCATTCGTCTAATTTTTTTTTTAATCCTTGACATAGAAAGGAAAGATTTACATTCATGGTACAAATAGTAAGTTAAAATTTAGTAATAATAATAAAGTGCTAGAAAAATAGAAATCTTTATACAGGTAATCAACATTCTGATACAAATAAGACTTCCATTAAAAATACAGTGTACATTGTAGTAAAATACACCTTCTGTGCAAATCGTTTCACAAAAAACATTTTCCATATTGAAAATAGATTAACATTTCTCTTCTTGTAGAAATATGAATTTTTAATACAATAATATAACATTAGAATATGAAACAGCTGGACAAAATTGATGTAGAAAGAACACCTAAAAGGTTTACTCAATAAGAGTTTAGAAAAATACACTAATTTCTACCAATAATTGAATCTTTATTATTAAATTTTTATAACACATATAGGAACTCATACTAGACCATTGCTGAATATCTAAAATATATACAATAAATATCTTATACTGTTAATGAAATAATTGTTATTTTTTATCATTACTCAGAGTTCATATAACTGATAAATAAACAATCAAAATATTTGTAAAAAAAATATTAAAATACATTTCTTGAATAAAAAATTATTATTAAAAATATTTTACTTTTAAACAAATGAATAAGCTTTATTTATTCCATTCATACAACAAATAAATCAGCAATAGAGATATTTAGACCAAAATATGCTTTTCAAAAATTCAAAATTCATTTAATGATAATCCTGGAAATATAATTGAATGATAATAAAAGTACAGTTCTCATATTGAAAGCAAATATTTTCTAAATAATTAAAATAGATAGATAGCATAAAAAAAAAAATTAAAAAAAAAACTGCTTAAGTGGTTTATCACAGAAAAATGGCACTATATTTATAAAATTTTATTTTTCTTTGGATACAAAGGAATAAACTTCATGTGCCATTTATATTTGATTAGATCAAATGACTTAGCATAAATATAAGTTTTATTTATTAAAAAAAATTTCCAAAGAAAAAATAAAGCTAACAGGAAATAATTTAACTTCTTATTCAAGTCATTCTAGTTAATAGGCAAAATAAAAATTTTTTTATATGCAAGTCGTTAAATTTTTTACGTGTGGGGCAATCATTTTCTAAAAAGTACTGTAGAGAAAAAAAAGAGTTATTGCGTAAATGCTCAAGTATACCCAAATATTTAAAAAAGAAAGAATTCATTAGTAGCCCTACAGCACATTGACTAGTTGTGCCATATTACTGGGAGACTGCTTAAAAATGTAGAACAGTAGGAACTAAACATTGAAAAGCTAAATGTCAGAGTAAGATCCACAATGACGAAGAGAAATTCCAAAAAAAAAATCATTTTTCTTTTATTTAATAAGAACAGGTTATGAAAACTGGGAACATTATAAACTCATTTTGATTTTATTTTTTTCTCAGAAACTTTCTTGAAAGTATTTTCTTTTCTTAAAAATATCATTGTTAGAATAAGAACTTTAGTAAAAAAATCTTTGTTTCGTAATCTCATTCTTCAGAAAAATAAACTTGATTCAAAGAGGGAAAATACTCAATAGCTGCATTGTATTATATTGTACTTTTATAGTACAATGCAAATACTGAAGAGTGTTTTTTTTTTTTTTTGATATTGCAAGATTCATGCTCACAGGTGGCTACCTGTTTTTTTTCTCTTTTGAAGTTCTGACTAGAGTTCCTTCAGCATTTCACTTCTTGAACAATTTTTACACCTCATATGCTCAAAAGAAAATTTTTGTTTTAAATATCAGTCACTTTTGTTTCTGGAAACTTTAAGTTTCACAAACTGAATTCTACTGAAATGCTTTTCATGAAAATGCCTTATTTAATTTAATAATTTATTTTCATTAAATACATAAATAAAAAAAACTTTTAGTAAGTAAAAAAGCAGTTTCTGAGAATAAGTGGAAATTAAGATACAGAAATCCAGCAATACAACCAATGGGCAGCAACTTTAAAAAGAAAGTTTTAAAAAATATTTTATTAACTGTTTTTCATTAACTGTTAAATTTCAAACAAAAATGAGATTTTCTAGAAATGTTTCATTGATACTGCTTGTAAATTCCAATTTAAACTCTATTTTTAAAGGATGAAATTACATTTGTTTTTCAGTTGCCCAGATATTTATAAATGTCTATCTTTTTTTTTGGAATTTCTAATATGTGATTAGTTATAGAAAAGATAAAAGATTTGATCTACAACTTTTATAAATTCATATAATTTGCTACTTCATTAACCAATTATATGATTTAAATTTCAGTAATTTAATACTCGCGTTGTCTTTTCTTAGTAACCAATTATTTCGTAGTAAAACTTTAAAAAAAAAATGGCATTTAGATTTTAATTTCATAGACTAAAATTTTGTTAATTACATCAATATCAACGTAATTGTAGGAAATTCTATACTTTTTTTCAAACTGATGTTTATTCTTTGATTTTAAAATTTAATAAAATATATATATATGAAACTTGACAACCCAAGTAGATTAGTCCCTTTCCCTTTAAGCAGCTGCCTTTATTCATCCCTGCTATTCGGAATAGAGAGAGGGAAAAAAAAACGTTGGAGTGTTAATTTTACCTGGAGAAAGGGTGATAGGCTTATTTGTGCACTTTCTGAGGTTTTAAGGCACATTATCAACTACGAAGAAAAAAATAAACAATGCATGATATTTTTCTCATCTAACCAAACCCCTATTTTAACGAAATTGAAGCAGACCAAGCACAAGCGTAAAAGGTGCTTAGGCATAAAAATGCAGTACACGTTAAAGAAACTCTTAATTACATTTTAGAATCGGGATAGAAATTTTCAAATTAATTTACAAATGGACATATATTTAAAAACTTAAAATGAGTTGATTTTAAACATATTTATTCCTTCAATTTTAGTAGAAATCTTTCATAAAAACAATTAGAGTATGAGATTATGGATTAAAAGAGAAAAAAAAAGTTAATATGAAAGAATACACAATCACAATTGTGTAAGTAAAACAACTTATACTTTGAATAGGCATTAAAAGGCCATCAAGCATGAGTAAAATCAAAGATCAGGTTGTAGCGATCACAGGTTGGTTGATTATGGTACATAAAAAATGCTTTTGTAAAAAGCTGATCTTTGAAAAATAACAATATTTTATTAAATTTGTGATAACAAAATATCAGTTAAATATAAATATAAATTTTTTTCTTCTAAATAAATCAAATAGTTAAAATATGTTTATTCTAAAAACACTGTAAAAGCTAACTTTGAAATATAAAAATCTAACTTTCGTAGATAATACTAAAACACGTACTTCATAAGAATTCATTTTAGGATTTGGTAGATTAGGTTAAGATTTAAAAATGTATTATGTTTTAGGACATTCATTAAAACAAAAATACACGAAGGCCACATAAAAGCCGACATACAAAACAACAATTATTTAAAATGCTGATCTTTAAAAAATATATACATAATTTGTAAACAAATAGCAACAGATAGAAATAAAATTAAATGGTTAAAAGCATAAATTCTTAATTCATCAATTTATACGCAATAAATTCATTGTATATATTATGTTAAAAGTTGACTTCTTAAAAATGATAGAGCATGGTAAAGGGAGACAAGGTAGGTTGGACCTAGGGGCACATAGGACCAGGTACAATTATTTTAATGCAATTGAACATTTTAGGTTGTTTTTCCCATTATATGTGCACATTTAGTATTACAAATCCTATGAAAGGATCATGCTGTCCAGTTAATGTATGCATTTTTTATTTCAACAAGTTGCATTTTAGCACTGCAAAGTAAAAACTAATATATATATATTTATTTTGATTTTTAAGGAATTATGAATAAGTTAAAAGTTTTTAGTTCAGTTTCTATGTTCTTAGTATTCGGGAATGAATTAAATTTGTACGAGGCAATGGCGATAAAAAAAAAAAAATAATTTATCTCCAAAAATCATTGATAATAATAGTGCATGAAGATGTTATAATTTTTATTTTACCTGAACCTCATTCAAGAAATATCAGGCTTTTCATTGCACAATTATTGCTTAATATGGCTTTTGGTCACTTTAATTTGCAAAAATTTTTTTAAATGAAGATATCATGTTTCATTATGCAAAATCAATTACTAATAGTGAAAAAACCTATTTTTAATAAAATTCAATAAATGATTGTGTGCAGTAAGGATGGCAATCTTTTATTGAATCTTTGAAGACTCACTTTATTAATCTTCAGAAATGCAATTTTCATTTTAAATTATTTAAATGAAAATACAATTATTGTATTGTAAAACATGTATCCTTCAATATTGTCTCTAAAGATGTTTTTGTCACATGGTCCAACATGCCCATGAAGTAGAACGTGGCACCCCGTCCCTAAGGTATGTTGATCCACAATTCAAAGTTTTTAAAAACAATTAATACAAAAAAGTTTTCAACAGAACATTTTTTTAAAAAAATAATGAATGCCGAGAAAAAAGCAATTGACTTGTAGAACAAAATCAAACTGTACAGATAATTTTTTAATGAAATAAAAAATGAAATAAAAAATGAAAAGTGGACTAACTAACCCTGGTTTCTCTTATATTATGAAAATACCACAATAATTAACAATAAGTGTAATTTCTTAAACATGATTCTTGAAATATTCTAAAAACTAGATACAAATACATAAAATCTTTTAAAACTTAGTAATAGTTTAAAAACAATTAATTTGATGTAAATGATCATAAAAAAATATTGACATTATACATTTTTTATCAACATATATATTATTTTAATGAAATAAGTCATAAAATATTATATATCCTGAATTTATATTATAAACTCTAAATTAACATTCACAAAATCTTTTTCAATTAAAGAAAAAAACCTTCAAATGCTTGAGAACACAATTCATGTTTAACCTTAATATTATGGTAGAAAGAGAAGTATATAAACAATATAGATGCATCCTCACAAGCATTTAAAATAATTTTCTCTTCAAATATTCATTCCTTCAACAAGAGAAATGAATTTTAAAATAAAATTTCAACTTTATTAATCTTAAATAAGTTAAATAAAAAAGTAATAGAAACTTTGCCTAGAATTTTAGATTCACTTTAAATAAATAAAAAAAGTGAACTAAAGAATTTTTTTTCATACAACCTTGAAAATCTTTTTGCAAACATGAGAAATATTTTTCAATCATTATTCAAACTTTTACTTTGTAACTCTGTAGAGGGAAAAAAACTAGTTCATTCAGTGTATTCATTACTATAAATTCTAGTAATAAGATAAGATAGTAATAAGAAAATACTAATTATCTTGGATACATATAAATACAATCTTTTAAAACTTAGTAATAGTTTAAAAATAATTATTTTGATGTAAATAATCCTAAAAAAATATTGACATTATACATTTCTTATCAACATATATATTATTTTAATGAAATAAGTCATAAAATATTATATATCCAGCATAAACTCTAAATTAGCATTCACAAAATCTTTTCCAATTAAAGCAAAAAACCTTAAAATGCTAGAGAACACAATTCGTGTGTAAGCTTAATATTATGGTAGAAAGATGAGTATATGAACAATATAGATGCATATTCACAAGCATTTAAAATAATTTTTTCTTCAAATATTCATTTCTTTAACAAGAGAAATGAATTTTAAAATAAAATTTCAACTTGTATCTTGTATTCAACTTGTTGAATTAATTTTGAATAAGTTAAATAAAAAAATAACAGAAACTTTGCCAAGAATTTTAGATTCACTTTAAATAAATAAAAAAAAGTGAACTAATGAATTTTCTTCTTATGCAACTTTAAAAATCTTTTTGCAAACATGAGAAATATTTTTAAAACATCATACAAACTTTTACTTCGGGAAAAAACTAGTTCATTCAGTGTATTCATTACTATAAATTCTAATAATAAGATAAGATTGTAATAAGAAAATACTCATTATCTTGAAGCTTTAAACTATAGGTACTGGCTATATCTAAAGTGACTCTTAGACAGGAGAAGTGGATAATCATTTAAAACCACTTAAAATTCTTTAAACAACCATGAATAGATTTCTGACATTTTAAAATTTTATTAAAGAAAACAAAGATAAAATTTTCCTAAAAATATTATGATCTATCAAATTTTGTGAATTAATCTATCTAATTGTCTGAGAACTTTTTTTAACATTAACTGATACTTGCTAAAAATGAAAATACTAGTAAATTAGAACCAAATGCAATAATTGTACCAGGTTTGCACAAAAAAAAAAAGGAATTGCATTAAAATTTTTTTTTAAAGTTTCAACAAAGCATTAAGTTCTACATTGTATGCTTTTTCTATTGTTTATAGCTTATTATAATATAACAAAATATAACTTTAAATATGGCAAACTTAAAAACAATGACCATAGCTTTGCCATTACTGACATAAATAGCTAAAATTTCACAGAAAATAAAGCAAACAATAATAAAGAATAAGTAAAGAAATAATATTTAAGCTATAGCTAAAATAATTAAAATAAAATACTAATGCATACAAAGTTTAAGGGGATATTCCGATATTGGTACCTGTTCATATAAACTAAAATTACATGATTGGTTTACTTGGAATAAATTAAAGAAAAATATTATAGCTTGCTTGGGATAATTATAATTTATATCTCTTGAGTTTACCTTTTTCTGTGACTTTTGGTATAGTTTCTTGCCTGCAATTGCCCAAAAATTAGCCAAAATTTTGCATTTATTTTGGCACAGGTACTGATACAATACAGTACTTCCCAAGATAAACAATAAACACCATGCACTTTACTAATTAACCAGTCTCACCAAGTTTTTGCTTTAGTTGATCCCGCATATTTTTAAATCGTACAAATTCTTTAGGAATTTTATGAGCAGAACGGTGTCTTAAAAAAGCTGTTTTATCAGTAAATAAATCTCCACACACATCACAAATAAATGGTTTCTGCTCAAAGTGTGATAATCTATGGATCTGGAAAAAAATTCTTTCTTGAAACACTTTACCGCAAATATCACACTCTTGTCGTTTCTTTTCTTCATGAAGAGATCGATGTTTCTGGTAATATTCTTGATCAGGAAAAGTCTTACCACAAATATCACACCCAAATGGTTTATCAGGTGTATGATTAGACATATGCTTGGTAAGTTTACTTTTATCAAGATATCCTTTATGACAAATTTTACATTCATAAGGTTTTTCTCCAGAATGTGTCATATAATGTCGTTGCAAACTCCCCTTCACAGCAAATGATTTTTCACAAAAAATGCACTTGAATGGTCTTTCACCAGATTTTACACATTCATGTTTTTGCAACAGTGCTTTAGAACAAAACGCTCTACCGCACAATGAGCAAATGTTATGGGTAGAACTTGCATCATGCTTAGATGTAAGAATATGATTACGTAAATTACTAGCAGTTAGAAAATTCTTATCGCAAACATTACACTTTAAACTGCCTGTTCTTTTATGAGACAATATATGCTTGGAAAGATCAGCTAATTGCACAAATGACTGACCACAAGTTTTGCACGTATGTGGCCTACCATCAAATGATCGCAGTGTACGAACTCTTGTTCCGCTCATAATTATTAGTTAAAGCGATTAATAGTTAATATATATTACTTTAATAAAATAAAAATATTTGTGAATTTTAATGAGTTCTAATATCGCTATATTAATAATTATTGTCGTTTGTGCAAATGATAAATCCAAAACATAAATCGATTACTTATAAGAAATATTTATAAACTATTCAAATTTCGAGCAGCAAATCACGATAAGAATTTTCAAATAAGTGATAAACAAAGAAAAATAGTGGCGAAAAAAACACTTTTTGAAAATTAACAAAAGCAGGATAAGTAACATAAAAAGAATATTATTTTTCTACAGATAAATACTTAATTCATTAATAATTCATAAACTTTTACATATTATTTGTTAATTCATTAATTTTAATTTCATTACACACATTTTTGGTTGGCTAGTTGTAATGGCGATCAGTTTGGAAGCTCTTTGCGCGATAAAGTTGCCTTATAGCTTACATGGTAGAAAATAAAAAGGGCAATAATTAAAAAATATTTTTCTTCTTTTTACAATTTTGAATGGCATTACTAAACTCTCCAGGTGGTTTGATGTGATAGGTTCTTCTTTCCAACCAATAAGCTGTTTCCATCTGTCCAGTTAAGCACATGTCATCTTTTTAACTTCTAGTTTTGTCAAACACCGAAAACTTACCGGTGTTTTAAATTTTTTGGCCACCGACCAGTTAACAATATTTATTTTCTAGCGCTGTAGTAATTTCAAAATGAATTCTCCATTTTCTATAATTATATTAATTTATTCATTATTGTATTTTGCTTTTGCTAAAGAGTATTTTGTTGAGGAATTTTCTGATGGTAAGTTATTTTACTAATTTAGTGTTTCGAATAACAGTTTATTAATAAACTCTAATACCCCCCGATCTATATTTAAATTTCGCATATCAATCAAGATGAGCGATTTCAATTAGAACTGGATAATTGATAAATTATGTAGTTATAGTTCCACGACACTGAAATATCCCCTAGTTTCGTTATTTGTTATGCCTAGAGAGATTTTTCTTTGTGGGGAAGAAGTTCTTGCAACTAAAATCTAAACTATTTTTATTGTAATAGCTTTATTGGGATTGATTGAATTTTAATTATAAAAATCAGTAAATTTTAAAATGTTTTGATTTTAGTCTGTAAAACATTCTCCCTTTTTCTAGTAGCTTGTTTTTCTGTAATCTAAACTTATCCCGGCATTTTTTCATTTTAAAGTAAGAAATGTTTCTCATTTATACCTCAATCAGGAAACATTATTATAAGTATTTTTTTTTTCTATTGATAATCCAAGCAGTGTAATATAAATTTTAATGTGTTTAGTAACTAATCTCTTAGTTCTGTAATAATTTCAGATAAAATTGCAATATGGTTTGGATTTTCATTCAACAAAGTTAATTTTAATTTGTCGAAATATAAATGCAATGGCATGTTTTGCACTTGGTTCTTTATTTAATTGTAGTGAAATATCTGGAATCTTTAAATGTGAATTTTTATCTTGAGTGTCTTCCCCCCCCCCTCCCCAAAAAAAAGAAATCCAGAAATTAGCTGAAGTGCTAGAAGAGAACATTTTTTGATTAAAAAGTTTTCTTTCATAAGAAACACATTTTAGCTCTTAGTATCAGTATTAAGAATCCATCTTAATGAAATGGTATTCATCATATGATTATTATCAAATTCAAATTGAATTACTTATTGTGAAAAAAGTAAATCTATGATCAAAATAAGTTTGAGTAGACCAAATGAAATAAGTTCTTATTTTTAATAATTTTTGACATGGATTAAAAAAAAAATGAATAGGTAAACCAGAACTTTTAATTAAATCGATCTCTTCATTTTTATAAATTCTGTATATTTTAAATTATGAAAACTGAAAATTTTTCTAAAACATTTTAGGGTGGGTCATCTTGGACTTGACCTACCTTATGTGTATGCTTATGAATGAGTCCTGAAAGTTTTTATAAACCTATTTCTAGGGTTGGCCTGGTATTTACCATGTGAGGTTTTTATTTGTATTTACCCTGGCTTTAATTTTCTGGGGAAAACTCACATGGGTTTTAGTAAATTTTTTCCTTATCAGCAGAAAAATTTCTGTATTTCTGTGAACATCTTAAAAGCATACATAGACAATATTGAGACAAGAATTTGGAACATTGTTAAAATAGTCTTGTATAAAACATTGCAGTACAATGATAGTTTTAAGAACTAAAGCTTTAAAAATTTTCCCAAGGGTCACTATTTTCTTGATGTTCGTAATAAATATTTTTCCTGATTAGCCTATTTTAACCTCTTGGTTTTTTTCCTGTGATAGAGCAATATATTTTATACTTAATATAACAAGTACGACAAAAATCATAATGCTAATATTAAATGTGTAAAAAATATGTAACAAGTTAAAAATTACTAGCTTTCCGCTATTGCAACAATGTTTTTATGTTTAAGTGAGTAATATTACTTGAAATAGAAATAAGACTTTCTTTTTCTCGTATCAATATGGAAAAGTGAAAAAACTCATTTCACTTTGTTTTCTTGCAATCTTAACCCAAAATGTATTAAACTCTAAATATTAAAATATGGTAGGAAATATAATTTTTTTATAGGAAATTGAAGTTTTTTGAAAAATACTAAATATTTCATTTTTTTACGAGAATACGAAACGTTCAGTTTGGTGTTTGGATTATAAATTTTTGTGGTCATTGACAATTGAGGGAATATTCCACATAATCTTATTGTTGAAATTAACTATATCGAATTAATTTTATTTCATTAAAGTCTTAGGCATATCTTTAATAAACTAGTTATCAATGCATCATCATTAATGATTTTCTAAACTTTATTTTGCTAGCTTGCCTGTATCTTGCAAAATTCCATTATTGAGCGCATAGACTTTATGAGCAGTGTTAATTCTTGCCTGTACATGGTCTTAGGATTTCATGAATGTTATGTTAGTATATCTATATATTGTAAGGTTGTGTTGTTAAAATTTCAAATTATTGGAAATGTTTAGAGAGAATTTTATTTCAAAATATAGAAATATGCTAATCTGTAAGAAATTAAAATATCCTCATATTTTTGGATTACATGATAGAAAATAAAATTCCTACATTTTGTAATTTCTTGTCTGAAGAACAAAAACATGTACTTTCAGTAAAAATGATTTTTAAAATCTAAATACTTAAATTATTTTATCAGTGTAATTTTTTTCCAAACTTTGATATTTCTAAAATATAATATTTAGATTCATGGGAGAAGAAATGGATCCAATCTGAACATTCTGGTAAAGAATGGGGAAAGTTTGTGTTGACAGCTGGAAAATTCTATGGAGATCCTGAGATAAGCAAAGGTATTTTTAAATAAAATTCATAAGTTTTACATATTTTTAACTTTTAGTAGCTTATATGAAATTTTCAAATAATTTTTTATTTTCTATAATTGGCTAACAGTCTAGGTAACATTTTTAACCACAATGAGTTTTTAATAGTTGTAATATAAAAGTAACTAGTGTTTATTAAATGTTTTAATTTACAAAGTTATGTTGTAACCTTTTCATGTATGAATAACAAGGTTTTAATTTGTCTTAGTTGAAATTTTTTTTTAAAAAAGGTTGGTTGACAAACATTCAGAAATTAAATTTATTGCAAAATAGATTAGAAATAGTTTTCACTTATACACTGAAACTGATTTTTAACTAAGTAAAAGATCAATTATGAAAACTTTTACTAAAAACATCGTAGTATTGAAAAAAATATCTTAAAATTTTAATTGATAAGCATTTATAGTTGAGTTAATTCATTCTTTATATATTCTTGCATATAACTTATATTTTAAACCAAAATCATTTAAATTAGAATAATTCATAAGAACCAAATTTAAAACTTATTTACCTTTTAAAAAAAAGGATTCTCTTTAATCTTTTTAAAAAAAGATTAAATAGGACCTTGTAGTGTACATTGATAAATTTTAGATTTAAAATGTGTCAATAGAATTAAAATATAGATCTTTCATGTAGATTAAACTGAATTTCATGAATAAGGGGACAATTCATATGAAGATTCATTATAAATTAATTATTTTTAAAGTACAGTAGAGAACCGATTATCCGGAACGATCGGGACCATTGCTATTCCGCATAACTGATTTTTCAGGTTTTCTGAATCGCTACAAAAAGCAGTTTTTTTTAGTATTAAACCCAACTAAAAAAAAAATGGAAATAATCTTAAAAATAAGAAAAAATGATGAAGTAATACACCAATGATTATTTCTGAAATGATGGTAAGGTAAACATCTTTCAAAAAAGAAAGAAAAATCCTAAAATCTTATGAGGAAAAAAAAAAAATTTTTAAATTGCGGGAAAATTTATTGAATTTCGTTCAGATTTTTTGGTTTTCTGATTTCCGGATAACGGGTTCTGTACTGTATATATATTTAAATATTGGAAGATTTAAAGTGAAACTTTTTGTTAGGTGTACAAACTTCTCAAGATGCAAGATTCTATGGGTTGTCTACAAAATTTGAACCATTTAGTAATAAAGATAAAACATTGGTTCTTCAATTTACTGTCAAGCACGAACAAAATATTGACTGTGGCGGTGGTTATATAAAGATATTTGATTGCAGTTTAGATCCTAAAGATATGCATGGTGAAACTCCTTATCTTATGATGTTTGGTAAGTTCACTTTAGTTTTAAATTTGTTTAATTGTGTGGAATCTTAGTTTTAAATATTCCTTTCATATTTAAGAAATCAAATTTTTTCTATAAATATCTGATTTTTTTTGATTATTTATTAATAAGTTTTCAAAATGTTTTAACATAGTTCAAAATTTCACTCAGTTAGTTGAGAGGAAAACAAGAAATAAAGACTATTTTATACAATAACTTTTATTTTGAAACTGTATGCAATCTATATCATGCAACGTTTTTAAATTCTAAGAAATTGGCTGAAAAGTTCTTGGAGTGTGTATTTACTTTAAAAAACTATCCTCGTTCTTTTCTTAATACTAGTAATAAATTTCGTGATTTCTATCAACTTGATAGTTAACTAATAAAATAGATCAAACTAAATAGATCTTCATTTACAAAATATGTATTCTAATGCATTAGGTTGTCATAACATTCTTTGTTAAACGAATGCTAGAAGAATGTACTAGAATATGTACACAAAATTCAATTTATTGTGAAGATACTTCTCTTTAAAAACAATGGATTTAAATGGAAAATTGATTCTATGAAAGGCTATGGCTCACTTGTACAATTAGGTTGTAGCCATTGGTGCGATCCTTCAAACCAAAGTGGTTTCGTTACCTAGCGAGTAAAATTTTGTAATTTAAATGGATCTTTTAACCTTTTTCGCAAATAAAATCTGTTAAGACTATTCTGTAATTTTAGACTAATATTCGTTCGTTCATCTAATATTAGTGATCTGTAAAGAAATAGTTATTGACCTTGCTTAATAGTTTCAGAAAATATTTAAAGCTATAATCCAATTTAATTTTTAGGGCCTGATATTTGTGGTCCAGCTACTAAAAAAGTGCATGTCATCTTTAACTACAAAGGCAAAAATCTCTTGGTTAACAAAGAGATAAGATGCAAGGTAATTTTTTAATTTATTTAGAAATTTTAAAATTTTCAACTTTACTAGTTTTTAATAAAATATTTATTTTTATTTTAGGATGATGTTTACACTCATTTATACACACTTATTATTAAACCTGATAATACATATATTGTGAAGATTGATAATGAAAAGGTTGAAAGTGGAGAACTTGAGAAAGATTGGGATTTTCTTCCACCAAAAACAATAAAAGATCCTGAAGCTAAGAAACCAGAAGATTGGGATGATAATCCTAAAATTGAAGACCCAGAAGATAAAAAACCTGAAGTAAGATTTTTAATTTTATAGATTAAATAGGTTTCAAATTATTAAATTTCTAAATATTAGAACTTGTTCTATATTTACTTATACAAATTAAACTAAAGTTTTTCTATTAGTTGCATGTTCTGGATCTAGACAATAGTTCTATAGGTCCTTTTTAGCTTTAAAGTTTAATTCAATTTTAAGAATTTTTTTTCTAAAATATTTATTATATTAATATTATGAATGTTCAACTTTTCATGTTCATGAGAAAAAGTAATGTAAGGAAACTTACTGACCTCTTAATACTTTTCTTTCAACCCTGTGCTCACATGCTTAAGCAGATTGGATATTTCGGTCTGTCTGAAATAAAATTTCCTAACATTCTTTGAAAGTCATTTAATACTTTTCGCTTTAAAATTTCTGTATACTGAAACTGCAAATTTTCTTCTGGAATTAACAAAGATTCTCTTACTATGCAATTATTTCATTTTTAACTTGACAATTTTAGGATTGGGAACAACCAGAATACATTCCAGACCCTGATGCTGTAAAGCCTGAAGATTGGGATGATGAAATGGATGGAGAATGGGAGCCACCTCAAATCAACAATCCTGCTTATAAAGGTGAATGGAAGCCTAGACTGTTAGATAACCCTAATTACAAAGGACCTTGGATTCATCCAGAAGTTGACAATCCTGATTATGTAGAAGATTCAAGCCTTTACCAATATGATGAAATTTGTAGTGTTGGAATTGATCTTTGGCAAGTAAGTTGATTCAATTTATTATAATTCTGTAATACAGTCAAACCCCGCTATAGTGAACCTTCAAGGGACCGACATTTTGGTTCACTATAACTGGGAGTTCACTATATCCATTACGCATGCAATTTAACTAATGATTCCCAAACTCCTCCCTTTAATTACACATCATTCAAATAAATGACTTAAAAATATTATGTAGTAGTAAAAGATGTGTTATTTTTCATTACTCTTCGTCTTGCATGCAAAAAAAATTAGCATTTTTTAGGTGATGAGCAATCCTCAAAATCAGATATGAAAACACTTCCTGACTCTCGGATAATTTTTCCTGAATTTCTGCTATTCCGCTATTTAAACCTGTCTAATCTGCCATTCGAGCACATAAAAGTTGCCTCATAAAATCGCTTAGCAAATTCATGGAAATTTGTCCAGATACTGGAAGATTGCGGCTTCTTCGAATGGTAAACCACTTCAGAAATGCTTCTTCAACATTCTTGTGATCCGCTTTTCTAAACTTTTTTCTGCCATCGAAATTTTTTTCATGAGCAGAAATAATTAATTACCTATTTTTCCATTTGTTACAAACTACAGATTTGGATAGTTTATATTCCCTGCAAATATCAACTTAATTGCATCCATTTTCAATTTTTCTGATTATGTCCATTTTATCAATGGAGAACATTTTACATTTACTGCTTGCCATAGTTAAATTTGAGACACTTGTTTGCAGTTTTTTTAACTGAACTGAGAGCAAAGAGAAGTTGAAATGAGGGCCTTATCAACACATATTAGTGTCCATCCTTTTGACCAATTATGAATAATTACTCATTCCCTCTGACAGAAAATGCATATTGATCCCACTGACTCCTTATAGGTGCGTCATCTGCCTGGGTTGGAAACATCTGCTTGGTTTGTTTAGGGATTTGAAGGTGAAATAAAAGAAGAAAACAAGAAAAAATGCTTATCGCTACATTACCCTCTATAGATGGTTTTAAACACTGGTATATGTATTTATTTTGAAGTAGAAATTTCAAACTTATTACAAAAAACAATGAAGAAAAAATCAGTCGAAGGCAAAAAAAAGTTCATTATATCCAACTTCCTCACATTTTTCACTATATCCACAAAAAATAACATACGTGTATAGCAAGGCACGGGACCGAACATTTCGTTCACTATATCCGGGAGTTCACTATAAACCGTGATCACTATAACGGGGTTTGAATGTATAAGCATAGTTGTATTTTTAATTATTGAAAAAACTTTGAAGCAAATGTTTTTTGCTTTTAAAACTTGTTTGCAATTATATGAAACAATTAGTCTTGTGTTACTTTAACGAATTTTAAGTGTAGATTTTATATAGGTTCATTATTAAATTATCAGTGCAACTTAAGTAATGATCAATGTATACCATATATTTCTAGATATAAGCCTATTTATGTACAAGCTTAAGAGTATGCTTGTTATTTGGAATGTCCCCCGAAATTAAAAACTAGTCTACAAGCATACTCTAAATAAGGCATGTTATGCTCAGAAGTAAAAATATACCCACTCTACTCCACGAGTATTTCAAATGAACAGATTGTTCTCAAATCATCAGCGAAACCTGTTTTGTTCCCACTCTTTTTTTCCAGACTTCTCATTTACCATAAGGAATTGACATCGGCTGTTCATTTTGGCAAAGCCAAAGTAGAACATTGCCAAGCACTGAAAAAGACTGCATGTTTAAGTTAAGACTTTATTTTTAATGTTAGTGGATAATCAAACCCCTTTTTTAGCATTCAAAAATTTTCTGAAAGTTTTCTCATATTCAAAAATATGTGGTACTTATATGTTAGTATATGTTTATTAAATGCATAAACATTTAGCTGTATATCTTTTGATAGAATTTCATTCTGAGATATGATCTTAATTTTGAAGATATGTAATTGGCACGTACAATATGTAATGAAGTCTCACTAAAATTTTTAAATATACCTACCTTTTATCATCAGGTTTTTAATTATTCAAATTGAAGGTTACAGTAATAGAAAAATATATATTCTAAACAGCTGACTGCTTAATAAATCTAAGGCTTGTAAAGGTTAGTGTTTGAATGAGTTTAAGAATATTTACAAAGTTTGTTTTTAGCACTAATGAAGCCTAAAAATGCAACAAATGCAACAATGATTATTAAAATTTTAAGAAACTACTTTTGCTCCAAATAAACTTCCACTTTTAAAAAGGGCTCTTATCTATCTTTAGTTTGTGAATTAGATTTTTCATGAAGTTGCACTAATTTATCCGAATTTTCCTAATTGCCACTGCCAATAAATTTGAGTAATTAATAACTTTTGATTTTCTAATTAAGAATGTTATTAGAGTATATAAATTTAAATAAACTAAAATTTTTTGCAGTTTTCAATGTGCTACCTCGATCTTTTTCTTAAAGATTATTATAGAAAAGTGTAGTTGAAAATCCTGTTTTTCAAGTTTTCTTTTTGGCAAGAATAGTCTAAAATCTGAATAACTTATAAATCTAGAGTACACATGCCATTTTAATATTGTTTTGAATATAAGATATTCACTAAATATTTAAGCTGTGGACTAAAACCATCTCAGATGAACAATCCTGTTATACTCTGGTTAAAAGTTTTATCTTCAGTCTATTCTTCTACAATTTAATTGTTTTTGGTTATTGGGAAACTAATTCATTGTGTATTGCTTGTTTGAAATTCAGATTTGAAATTATAAAATTACTTTCAAATTGTTAAAGTACACTTACTGCTTTAGGTAAAGTCTGGCTCTATATTTGATAATATACTGATCACAGATGATGAGGCAGAGGCTGAGAAAAGAGGTCGTGATACATGGGGTGCAATTAAAGTAAGTGAGCAACCATTTTCACTAATTTTCAATTCTTCTATTCACTTGAAGCCTTAACTGAGTTTTATTCTCTAGGAAGCAGAAAAGAAAATGAAAGAAAAACAGGAAGAAGAGGAACGTAAAGCTACCAGTACAAAAACTGAAGAGGATGAAGAAGAGGAAGATTTAGATGAAGCAGATTCTGCAGATACAACAGAAGACACAACAGAGGTATAACTTATGTAGTTTATTCTTTTTTTCTTACTTATGTCAATGAATGTAGTGTAACATAGGTTTTTAACCTATCCTAATTTTAAAACTTAAAAGCTTAGAAACAGCTATTGTAATAGTATTACTGTTAGTATTTTCTTACCACTACCTCAATCTCTAGTATTGAATACTAATACTATCTTTTTCAATTATTAATGATTTGAAAGTTTAGAGTGAAAGTCATAACTTGTCAATCTATTAAAGCTTAATTTGTTTTTGTAGAGCTTAAAATCTGTCATAAAAATGCCAGAGTTGTATAAAATTATGTGCTTTCATTGCTGTTCTTATTCTTCTTTAATGTTAGTCTTTTATATCTCAGTATGAAGCGATGAAACTAATTCCCCCTCGCTAAGTCCTTTTTGTAACTTTTTCTTTAAACTTGTTATGAAAGGCACTGTGACTTCATCCTTGATAACTAGTAAATTCTCTTTGGAAGTGTTTAGAATTGCATTAATTATCCAAAGTGTCCACTGTAAGGTTTCTCTTGGAGTCACTAAAATTTAGTTCTCACTAGTTAAATTATCACTCTTTTTGAAGATTTCATGACTGGTAAGAATTTTTATGCTCTAAGTCCAGTGTATAATATCAATACTATTAAAATCTACCTTCACCCTGATTCAGGGCAAAATAATTTTATTGCTGAGAAAGGGTAAGATTAATCATGTGTTTAAACTCTTGGCAAAATTGTGCTCAATTGTTCTGCACTCCTCCTTACTGAATAACATTGAAGTCTTTTAGTGCAAGAGAAACCACGAGATGTAAATTTCAAAAATATTAGGAATGCAGAAATTTATGTTGGCATGATTATCACAACTTTTGATTTGTAGTGCCTGTTAATTTTATTTAAGCTTTTTACTCTTGCTTTACTTTTAACGCTGCAAATATCAAGATTCTCAGTAACTTTAAATTGTTCACTATAGAATTTTTAGAAAGAACAGTGTTACCCTTGATAATATTGTACATAGTTTGATTTATTTTATATTTTCATTTACAGGCTGACTCTCATGATGAACTTTAGCTGTTGATAAATAGTCTAAAAATTGTAAAGTCTACTAGTTCATGCTCATCGGTTTCATTGATGCATCTATCATTGGACTTTTTATACCACTTCTGTAGAAACTGCAAAGCTAATCTTAACGTACATTTGTAAAAGTTACTTTTATCCTGTTTGACCAGATTTTGTATCATTCTTGTTTCCAAGCATCTTCAGAGCTAAACATTTAATCCTGGTCTTGAATAGTCATCCAGTACATTATTCTTTCGTATCAATTTGTTGAATTTTGATCTGTATTGTTAATAACAAGACAGAGATTTTAAGTGTTCCTTACCATGTAAAGAACTGTACACTATCATTCAAATCTTCTGTTAATATATTTTGTTAAATTATTTATGGACAATTTTTGTATATTTGAACAATTAAAATTATTTATAGAAACAATCCCAGTTATTTTTAAGTTTCAAGTGTTATGATTTTGTACATAGTTACATATTTTTTTAGAGAAAAAAATCCTAAATTTTCCTAGAGAAAAAAATCAATAGGAGTAATATCTAGATATCTGTTTCAATTTAATATTTTAAATACCCTTTTTGTCTTTCAAATTTGTTAAGATTTGTAAACTTTTAATAGTCTCAATAAGTATTGCTGAGAAAAATCAGTGGTCATTAACAGGGTGTACTTTTATTTGGTGACCAACTTAAAATTTAATCTTCGCACATATAAACAACCTGCAAAGCAGAATAGTTTTAACTAGTCTTAGACAATCTGAAGCAGTATCCCGGAAGTCTTGGGATGATTTTTTACCCCTAGCGCAATCTGTGCCTAACTTTATAGGTAGGAGTTAAGTTTCTTAATGTTGACACATTTGTTGCATTCACATTGAATTCTCTTTAGAGAGAACTAATATTTCTCATAAGATTTTGATTTAAGGCATGAGATATTGATTCATTAGTTTATACAGAATAAATTTGTTTTCTGCTGGAAATGGTACAGCATTTGCATTACCTTAAACCAGACTCCCATCAATATGATTTCCTTTCGAGATTATTTTAATAGTGAAAAAAATATTATTTCTTTGAAGAAAATCAGAAATTGGGTGGGAGTATTTAAACCAATTAATAGTAATAGGATGGTTTTATGGTAAGACTGGGAATTTCTCTTTCATTAGTTTTTAAAAGCTTAAATTTTAAACTAATCTGAATGCTTTTATTTTCTTAATTTTCAATTAGTCTAGTATTTCTTTGACGTAAATTTCTAGAAATATCTTTCCACATGCATATTTTGAGTCCAATTTAATATTTTTCAAGATTAAAAATCTATTTTCATAAAAAATTATAAAATGCAACAGATGGAATTAACATTTAAGGGTGGTGGTTATGGGACACTCTGTATATAAAGGACTACGCCCTGCTCGTTGTTTATCGTTCCCAAAGATTCCTTTCTAGTTTCCGATACAGGGATGCTGCTAACTTCTAAATACTCAAAAAATGGTAATTATTAAAAAGCAAATATCTAGATTGAAAAATTTTTCTAGAACATTTTTTCAGTTTACTATAGGCAATCGCAACGTTCGAATACACCACCTGGGGAAAAGACCGATTCCTTGCCTCGGTGGCGTATCTAGGTTATGGCGAGTGCCGTAGGCGCATTATTTGAAAAGCGCAAAATCAATCAGCACCAACGTTTTTTTTTTCCTTCAATTTTTCAAACTATTTTGATATATTGTTTATTTTAAGTAAGAACAGAATTTTAAAAGGATAATAAAAACAAAACATTGAAAAGAATTATTTAGAAAACTGTGCAGAATAAAAACTTCAAATGACAGAGAAAGACCGTCATAAGTGTAAGTTGTTAGGTGTTCAAGCTCATACAAAAGAATTCTGTTAATTAAAATTGTTTTTTCAAGATTTGCTTCAAAAAATACTTTTTTTTTTTTTAAAAATTACTCACTATTTTGGATATTTTATTTTTATTGGATTTTTACCCGTGATCTGGACTTCTATATTTCATTCAACTATTTAAATGAACAACAAATATTACAAGGATTTTCCTGGTTGATTGTAAGTAATCATTTCTTATATATTTATATAAATGCATCATATTCAATTTATTTGCTCACGTTATAATTTCTAGCGATCAATATATTTTCCAGCAATGCCAACTGCTCCACTTGCTTTAAAATATTTTATGGAGTGGTAAAGAGTTAAAAACCAAACCTTTCTGAATTTAAGATAATTCTGGTAAAATTTCTAATGCTTACCTGGAACAAAATTATGTTTCACATGATTTTTTGAATTAGTTATACGTAGAGGGGGAAAATAATTTTACATTAAATTTGCATAAACAAAGAATCATACAATAAACATAATTTTTGATAATATTTATGATAGAAAATATTTTTCTACACGGAGCAGAGCAAGTTTGCATCTCTGTATATGTTGTGTGAGGGACGTATACTCTCCTCCCCCTTATGAGGTTATACATTTAAAATTATAATATTTTGTTTTTGTATATAACTACTTTTATGTAAAAAAACAAACATTTAATATGGCCATTGATATTTTGGTAGAAAAAAGTGAATGTTGTGTAATTAAATGCTCGTTATTGTATTATTATTATCAGAGATGGGAACTTACTCCGGACAGCGGTTAAATTATTTCGAATGGTATAGTTTTGTGATGGATGATTTTTGGTTAAAATAAATTCGATTCATTAGGTTTTTATCCACCACTATTTCTAAGTAATTCGAAGGCTTATATAATTCGCCACTTTATAATAGTGAATTCATGTTAAACCTTTTAAAAAGTAAATATAATTAACCAAATATCAGCAAATTTTAGTTTGTAGTTATTTACCGTTTATTAAATTATTTTATCGTGTCCGGACCAGTTTGGCATATCTGTATTATTAAAAACAATATGTGTCTTAATGAGAGAAATAAAGGAATGTTAAAATTTGAAATGTTGGGAACATAATTTTTTAAGTTTCCTGACAAATTGTCGCTATAAGTAAATATTTTTGTGAAAATTACGTAGCATTAGTTAAGTAAAGAGTGCCGACTACCGAGAAATAGATTTATTTCCATTCATTAAAAGATAGATTTCAGGTTTAACCAATCATAAAAGTTCAATTTATTTATTTTTAATTAATTAACTTATTTTTTAATGTATTTATTTTATTTATTTTTTGAATGGCTAGATTAAGGAACATATAGTTAATTGTTCAACTGATTTTTCTTGCTATTAAGTCGCGGAAATATTACTCACACACAATTTTAATTTTATATTTATGACTTAAGCTGAAGTTTCAATAATCCTTATGTTTAAAAAGAGAAAAAAAAAGTTGTGTAATTTATCAAGACCTTACTTTGTATTTTTTAATTTCATTTATTAATATTTATTAAACTTCCTTCGATTTCTAGGCACACCCTTCCATAGCATCTCGGACACAAAACTTTTAATCTTAACATTTTATTTCGGATTTCCATTTTCTTTCTTCATTAAAAAAAATGGATTTAAAAATTACTTATTTAAAAAAACATTTTTTTTGAACATTTCTTTCATATTATGCATCATTTTATAATTATACTTATATTTTTTACTGCTATAGACATATTTTTGTAGTTATAAATTATACTTGAAAAAAACCGTTCAACCATTTAAAAAGGATTCATATAAAGTTTCCTTTATTTATATATTATATTTGTTTCTTATAATTAAAGTAAAATGGAAGCAAACTAACATTGGGGCTATAATGTGTAATTTATAACTATTACAGCAGTACAATAATAATCATTTTTTCATTAAATAATTCCCTTTATTTTAAGAAAATAAGTAAATAAAATAATAAACATTTGATCGAAAAATTAGAGCTTGTTTATTTATGAAACATATGAATTTTTATATAGTATTATTATAAAAATTCAAAAAGCCCTCTCTCCCCAAAAGATTTATATTTCTCATTTTTTTAAAAAAAGAACATTTTAAAACTAATTAAATTTAATTAGTTTTGGAAAGTTAATTTTATAAAATAATTTTTTTAGCTATACTGGTGGGGAAACTAAATTAAAACAATCAAATTAATTCGAACACGTAGAAAACTACGTAATTGAGGTTGGCCCACTTTGCATATATTTATTACAATTTATTTATATAATTAATGTAATTATTATTAATTATTTAAATTAATTTCTATTTTAATTTATATTTGATTTATTATTTATAATCCTAATCTGTTTATAATTTATTTTAAGACTTGTACTTATAACTGTAAAAAAAATGATTAACTCTTTAAACAAGTTCATATTCATGGAGATTTATTCGGATAATAGCTTTGTTAAAAAAATATTGATGTTCAAATCCTTTATTTTTTATATTAGTTGCTTGTAAACTGAGGTTGCATTTTAATGTAAAGGTTCTCGATTGGGTTAATTTTAAACTGCTTAAAATTTTCAACTTACTTATCACCCCAAACAATATTTAAATTTAAAAAAAAAAAATTGTGTACACCATTAAATGGTTAAACTAATAACCGTTAAGGCAAAACTTTACTTTATCATTTCTGTTTATGTTATTTGTACTTTATTAATAATTATGTATTTGTCGATCTATTTATGTGGATTAAATTTGATCATATGAATTTTTAATTTTTTTTCTCTGTAAACGGGTACTTTATCACTATCTTTTTTTTATGTTTTCAATTAATTGCAGCTAAAGTGCAAAATTTAAAAAACGACATTTTTATTAACTAATGTTTAACATAGTAATTTGGTCACAAATAGCCTACTTTGGTTTTAATAAACGATAACTATAGAAAATTATCAGAACTATTGAAAATATTTAGTAATAATATTACATTACCTTCCTTTAAAAACATTTTATGCCTGTTCAGAAAGTTTTTTTTTTTAACTAATCTTATGATCATTAATCTTTTTCTGTTAATGTTTTTTTTAGCTTATTCTTTTAGTAATTTTTTTTATCAATAGCCTGGGGTAAAGTAACCATGGCCATATTTGGAAAACTAAAATTATGGTAAAATAGTTTTTAGTTATTAAAATTATTCAGAATATTTCAAAGAGATTTGTTTATGAGAGACTAATTTTGATCAATTATATATTAAATAACCAACATAACTTTTATTTAACTTTTAAAATAACATTCTCTTCATTCAACAAGTTAAATTTAGTACTATTTAAATTCTACACAACTTAAGTCCCGCAGTGGACTAATCGTTAAGACACGGTTTCCAGCAGATCACCGAAGTCAAGCATCACTGGCTGCGGTCAGTGTGCGGATGGGTGACCTCTTGGATTGGTCTGCGAGGGTGTGCGGTATTGGTCCTCGTTAAACTGTTCTACCGAAAAGTGCTCGACTTCGCATACAGGTCTTCGGGCTACTGAAGCGGGGGGTGCCATCCCCTCTGCAGAGGATCAAAATTGTGATGGCATGTCTTCGGATCATCCTCAGGGATGTTTCCCAGACAGGCGCCAATAGCCCATTGCGCAGCTCTAGTGCGACGTAAATTAATTACAACAACTACACAACTTAACAAAATATGCATATTTAAAGGATTTATTACCCATTTAATTTTTATAAGTTACAAGATTAATAAAAATAGATAAGTTACAAAGAGAGGAAAAAATAATTTTCTCGCTTTGTATCTGATTTTAAGATCTTTCATGAATGTTTAACGCATCCCTCTGGATTCAAGCACCGATGAAAGGAGAGTGGGTTCGAGTACCGATGTAGAGATAGTGGGTTCCAGTTTTAAACAAAGGAGAGTAGATTATAAAAATTGATCAAACGATGGGGGGTAATCCCTCTCTGCATTTGAAACTGCATTGTTTTTTTCTCATCATTTAAATTCAACATTCAATTTTGAATCTGTTTAGAGAATTAACGTTTTTCCCTTTATTTTGAATAAAATTAGTTCTGCATCCCATTTTGAATTCAACATTTAAATTACAATCTTCTTAGAAATAAAAATTTTTATCCGCCATTTTATTTATTTATTTTGTGAAATATGTGAAAATTGTGCGACGAATATGAACAGAAGAAATTGAGTGTTTTTAACATTTTCATGGTAGGTGTTTTCAATGGATGGTGTTTTCAGTACAAATGTAAACAATAACAATCTCGAGCTGTATGCCTGCCCTAGTTCCGGTTAGAAAGTTTGCAGCTGCTTACTACATGTTATTCTGCGAGGCGATATTTTCAAACGCATAATTTTGTTTTCAATAAAATAAATAAATTAGATAATTTCTGAGCTCAATTCTGCCGTATTTCATAGTATATTAATGTTATTATGTAATTCTGGTGAGTTAGAAGTGAAAATTTGTGTTGCTAGATTTCATCCATGGTTGCTAGATTTTGAATAACTCGCTTTTTTGGCAGTCTTGATTTGGCCTCTTTCCATTTGCTTATTACTGTTTGTTCGTGTTGCAAGCTGTCCGCCGTCTTACGTTAGTGTTAGCATATTGTTCGAGGAGCAAGATTAAGTTAATACATTATAATTCAGGTTTAAATTTGAAAGTTGGCATATATTATTGACAGTGTAAGAAGTGTTTTAAAAAGATTTGTTTTCATATGTTAGGTTTACATATTTATTATTGATCAAACCACATGTTATTACTTAACACTATTATTATACGACACAACAAGAGCCACTTCGAGTTTCAGAATTCATTGCAAACTAAGTAATATAAGTAATCAAATACCACGTTTGCAAGAATTTTAAAACACAATGATCACGTTGTGAACCAAATGGCTTTGAAATACACAGGAAGCAGTAGCCCGGAAGTATACGCGGTATACAGCTTGCAGCGCTCTCTAGTGTAGAAAACACCATCCATATAAATGTAAACAATAACAATCTCGAGCTCAATACTTGCTCCAGTTCCGGTTAGAAAGTTTGCAACTGCTTACTACAGCTTATTCTGCTAGGCGATATTTTCAAACGGATAATTTAGTTTTCAATAAAAGAAGTAAATTAGATAATTTCTGAGCTAATATCTGCCGTATTTCATAAGATATTAATGTTATTAAGCGATTCGGGTGAGTTTGAAGTGAAAATTTGTTTTAGTTATTTATAGATCTATAAATAATCTTATTTATCGATATATTGTTAAATAAGGTGACATGGTTGCTAGATTTTGAATAAATCGTTTTTTGGCAGTCCTGATTTGGCCTCTTTCAGTTTGTTTATAACTTTGTAAACACAAGTAATAAGTAATCAAATACCGCATTTGCAAGAATCTCAAAACACAATGATCACGTTGTGAGCCATATGGCTTTAAAATACACCGAAAACAGTTACCCGGAATTATAGGAGGTATGGAGCTTGCAGCATACCCTAGTGTAGAAAACACCATCCAAATTAGTGCAGACTTTCTAAATGCGTTTTCCAGCTATTATTGTACTGTTGTTACAATTTTGTTTCTTTACATAAAAATAATATTCCATTTAACTCAAATTTAAGGGAAATATAAAGGGGGGGGGGGAGCTTTATTAAGATGACCAGAATTTCAACCTGTTTTCTAATCTTTACTAAGCTTCTGGGGAATATTTTGAAGGTCAAAAACCTGAATTCGCTAAAAAGTGAATAGCACGCTTAATAAGGAGAAGTGTCGTTTTATATTCGATTTTATTGCTGAAATTATTGTATGCACTAATTTTTTAGTATATTTCAATGGGTTTAAAGAAAAATAAAGTAACTAACAATTTTTTCGAAATATTTTGCAATTTAATATAAAAGATTTAACGTTTCCCTTTCGAACTATTAAAATTGTAACAGAACATGATTATCTGATATTGATAATTAGGATTATCAAGGTTGATTCTTTTTCTAATTTACTGACTTAATGGGTTCCAACCATCTTCGTACTAATGTACATAAAATGAACTAACAGCAGTTAAAGCGAAGCTTTTTTAATTGAAATATAAAAACTTTTAATTACATATTTGTTGTTGTTGTTGCTAATTCCCTTCTAGTCTGACGGAGTCAGACCAGATCAATAAATCCGTTGACATTTAGGAAGTCCGAATTTAAAAGGGAGAGAGGAATGAATGTCGTTCCAGTCCAGCCCCAAACAGTTCAAGATATGCTCAGGTGATGCCTGGTTTTGTTGGCATTTAGGGCAAAGAGGAAAGATCTTTTGATTGGCAGAAAATGTGAGACTTTTCGGGTGTCCACCATAGAGTTCTTCACCAACTCTATGGTGTCCACTCGCCAGTCGGGATAAGCAAGTGTTGGTCTGCCTGTCACCAGAAGATTTAATTTTAATGGATCTTGACCTAAACTTAACGATGATAATTAATTAGTGTAGACGATATTTGAAGTTATAAAATCAGACACAAAAACGTACTTTATCAGAATTAACATAGTTTTTTTTTCAATGGATTCGGAATTTTTATCTTCATAATATGGGTAATAGCCGCAATCTATAAAATAAAGTATAAATAGTTTGATCAGCTGAGTTGTCGAAATGTTGGACCCCTTAATGTTAATTTAACTTCTTTGCGCATTTCGCCATGACTCNTATGCCGGAGGTAGCTTGCTACTGGTAGGGTCTCCCAAGCCGGACAGGCCGAAGGGTAGGTGCCAGACTAAAAAGAACACCACCAGGAGCCAAGACAGTCTTCTACCTCACGGTGCTCCGGTCTTTGGACAACAGAAGCTGCATACCCCCTCCCATGAATCAGTTGACAATTACATATTTAAATACTATTTTGAATAGTTCCAACTCTACATATTTAACAAAAAATTTTATTATCATAAAAAAGAAGAAAAAATGCGAAACAAAACTAAAATCTCTCTCGCTCTGTACATGGATGGTTGAATGTTAACAATATCAAGCTTCCTAAAATCGTAAGAAATTTAGGAAACTTCTAGTGTATCCCTCCACTTATGTTATGCTTACGAGGTGATGTTCAAACAGGCATAATATTCTTAAAAGTTTTATTTTTGTGATTTCAAGTTTACTTGAAATTTTACCAATTCATAAGAGATTTCTTAAAGTTGTAAATTCCAACAGGTTATGAACCAAAAAATAGATTTAAGAAAATTAATATTGCGACATGAATAAAGTGTAGGGTTTGCCACGTTTTGAGAGTTATCCCTTATTTGGCTATAATTTTGTAAAATATCACCGGTTGTTATTTTTTGGGTAGCACTTAAACATGCTTGTTGGGCTTCCGAATTCATTTGTTCTTTGTTTCCCTGAAAGTTAAATTGAAAGAACACGTTATTATAATGTAAACACTACAAGTATAATAATATTGGATGACGTGCTTTTTCAAGTTTAGGAGTAAAAATCAATCGGGACCAGTAACCCGGAAGTCTTACGGCGAATTCTAACTCTTGGCAGCTTAGCTCTACTAGGTCAACCAACCCTAGTCTTAGATTAAGTCTTGCTGTAATAATAAAACGGTTCCGGTAAAATCATTACAACCCTGTCAGTGAAACATCCAACCAGGATCGAACACACTGAAGGAGGAGCTTCATGATTGACGTCATCACTGACAAATTTAAATTTAAAATTCTTAAGTACTACAGAAATAAGTAACCGGATATCTATTTCTAAGAGAGTTTTACCTTATAATGGCATCAGTAATGCTCGAGTACTGAATTGCGGTTTGTGTACAAATATTGTGGTTTCACTTTTATATCTGTTCTTTTAGGGCAGAGTTATAATTTAATTAAATTGAAGGTTAAGATAACTGAAGTATGTCCAAAAATACAACTTCTTCTGCTTTTAGAAAAATAGATGTTGATCAGTATAATGATGACTATTATAAAGAAGAAGAGGGAAGTGAACCACATTCACCTCCCACTGGACCTGATGAGCAGGAAATCCAAAATTTGATTAATCAGTATCCTTTTTCAAATAATTTCTTTCGAATATTTATGTTGAATTAAACCTTATTATTCATTTCTATTTTTTATTGTTCACTTTTCATTTATTAAATTAGGGAATAAAATAAATTAAGGTATATATTTTAAATCATGATTTAAAAATCAGCTTTCATTGCTTAAATAATGTAAGATTTGATGAAAAAAATCTATTTCTAACAATGACTTTTTGAGCAGGAACTTAAAAAACTGCTTTACCTTGTATGTATAGTAGATTAGAGGTAGCAATTAAGAAATTTTAATTATTTTATGATGGTTTGAGTAAAATTTTAGTGGTATCTGACCATCCTTAATTTTGAGCCCTGTGTAAATAGCCTGTAAGAAGATGTATATTTTTTATCAGCATATTTAGATTATTTTGTCAAAATTCATATAAAATACACGAATGTCATTGTTTTTTTTTTTTTTTACTGTACAAAACTTTTCTAACTAAAGATTATGTTATGTATATAATCTACGCCAAGTCTAATTTGTTTTAGTGTAGAAAAATTTGTTATAAGTGTTAATTTCGAGCTTTCATGCTTTGCTTTTTGATCTTTTGTTATATATTCCTATTCGGTTTTTTGCCAAGTGATGAAGTGTTTGTTTGACTGATATAAAATAATTAATAATGATCATTATCTCTAGAATAATGATCATAGAGATTTAATGATTATTAAATCTCTATGTATTTTAATTAGAAATTTACCATTAAGTTGACAAGTTTTTTTGTTTAAAACAAAAGTTCCTCTAACCAGCTTGAAATGATTAAAATATATTTTAATTTATAATACATTATTTTAAAAAAGTATTTTTGCATAGTAAAACACAACAATTCTGATTGGAAAATGTTTAAATTTTTTCCTAGAAAGTCAATTATGATATTAATTTAATATTTTTGTTATGGCAAGAAAAACTTACTACAGGTTTACAAAAAAAAGTACTTTCTTAATAACCAGGATTTAATCTGTTACTCCTAGGTGTTGAAATTTGTTGGCATACGTTTAAGAATCAATAAATGTTATATTAAGTGCGTATGTGACTGGTCTTGTAAGAAATGCAAATATTCTAAAAAATATAAGGATTTTATAAAATGCCTGCTTTATTAATGTATTGTATGTTAAAATTATTTTGGAGGTTGTATAAAATGCCTAGTTATTCTACAGAATGAATGATAAATACTTTCAAAGCAAAACATAGAAAAAGGACGGTAGCTATTATATAGTAGATGTTCTTTCCTCATTAATACAAGTGTTATTTAAAAAAACAAACAAATTACTGCTATTATAAAGGCTTGTTATACTCATTACTGTTAATTTGCGAAGTGCCAGCATTCTATGGAATACATACAGATTTCATTAAATGTCTGACATTATTTCATGCTTTGCTGGTATTTCATTTGGCATTCTATAAAAAGCCTGAAGGAAAGTGAGAAATGTTTCATCCTTTTATGCTTTAGAGGTCAGATTCTCGAGGTGTTCACTTACGTTGGATCCTATCTCATGTTGGTGTCCTTGGTAATGAAGTTGCAGATAGCTTGGCTAAAAGGGGTAACATCTGACTATCTCATTACCTATCATGATGTAACATGATAGGTAATGAGGTAGCCAGATCAAAAGATTTTTGCCCTGAAGAAAAGCTGTTTCAAACCCTCCTGTTCACCACTGGTTTGGCAGAAAAAGCCATGGTGGTGTTCTAGAGTTTAAAGGAGATATCAGCTCATACAACAGTTTCACAATTCATCAGTGGCCATTTAAAATGTTTAACTTTCAAATTTAGACGCACTGTCTTCCCAACATGCAGCAATTGCAATTTGAAACCAGCTTCTCCCGAATACATTCTTGATTGTCTGGAATTTTCCTCGGATAGCATTCTTTTACAACCAATTTTACTGTGTGACTTTGACAGAAACTCAAGGATTTGATATAGGTGAGGCTATATTGCGAAGGATTGGAAGCAACAACAGGGGTCGGATTTCTATATTCTATGTAAAATGTATACTTTCAAACTTTCCCAGAAGCATATATATTTTTAATTTAATAGTATCACTAATTTAATCAAGGATTATTTTCATTACATATTTGCACTAAACCTGAGTACATCTCAAATAGGATGATATTTATAAAATTGAGATAATTTCAATGATCTTGACCTGTATGAAATTTTTTCAGCATATGACATCCCAAAAGCTGAAGAAAGAAAATGTTTTATTTGATTAGCTTATTAAACTTGCTGCTCTTTAAAATGTATGTTTAGTAAAATAGGAGATATTCAAATAGAATGTATAGAAGTATTCAGTGATTTTTTTCTCCCTATCCCTGTTTTATCAAAAATATGCATTTCACATCCCCAAGACTTATGTTAGTTTTATTTTAGAAATTAAGTTTTTTCTGAGGTAAATTATTTTTGCAGTTAAGTTAATAAGCTTATCACAAACATTCTCCTTCTTCTGTGCTTGCATATTATTTGAATAACTCCTGTGTCTTATGTGCTGTTATCAAACAATTAATAGTATTACAAACTATTTATTTTATTTTGTTTTGCTTCTTTAATTTGACTTAGAGGCAAACATATTGATGCTATGAAGAACCTTTTACGAACTGCTCCAACAGGGACAAAAAATCAGTGCATTAAAGTAAGATTCACATGCATTGTGTTGGTAAAATAATATCTTTAGTGTCTTATGTTGTTTGTTAATATTAATTTCAAATTTTTTTAGAAATCTATCTATTGCTTCTAAAATATAACGTTTTTAATTTTACCACAAGTTTAAGACTTGTTAGTTATATTTGACTATTTATATTGTATTTATATACAATTTATATGTTTCTGTTTCATATTCGTATCAGTATTGCAAACATTTCTATCATATGTTTTAGTAACAACATTTGTTTGACTATATAAAACTTAACTGTTTACATCAGTTAATTATACGAATGTAACGATGTAATGTACGATGTAACGTAGCGATGTATACGAATGTAATTATATGATATGTAATGCATATTCGACTACTATTTGGTATTCAGCTAATTCTGAATATTTTGCCGAATATTCAGTTAGCCCAATGTCTAGCGAAATATTCGGCCGAATGTCCAGTAAAATAATCGGCTAAGTATTTTTTGAAAAAGTATTTTTTCAAAAACTTTTTTAGGGGGGGGGGATTTAAATAGATTTAATGAAAAATAATCTAAAGTCATATTTTCTACTATACATTATTAAAAATAGTTTTTACTCTCAAATTTGTACAGTTCTAACTTTTAAATTTATGTTCTGAAAGACAAATAATAAAAAAGCAACATTTGAAGAGTTGAAGCTAGATTAATTTATAGTGAACCACAAGTTTTGTACTGCTGATTTTTTTTTTTTAGAATTATATTCAAGCAAAGTCAGTTTTGTTGTTTTTTCAATACTTTTTGTTTCAGGAATTTAGAACTTTTTTTGTTTCATTTTTGCTGTCTTTTGTTTTAATTATAGCACAGCATTTTAATTGAGCGTTTCTAATAGATGTTATTCTTTTATTAACAATTTTTTTCTGTATGGTAAGGGAGATAGCTGGTAACACAGATAACTGTAAATCTTAATGTTAAATTAAAATTTCAGAACTAAGAACAATTTTTTTTCTGTTTCTCTTTTGCTTTCTTTATTAACTTTTATTTTTAATAGCATTTTTATAGTGACATAGCCTGTTTTAAATAATGTTTCTAATGAAAGTTATTCTTTTATGGTCAGTTTTTTCTGTAAAAATTAAGAACGGTTTTTGTTTCAATTTCTGTCTAGCCTTTTTTTTAAAACTTTTGTTTAATAGACGTTTTTATTATGAAACAACTATTAAGAGCATTTCTATTATACTTTATTCCTCACTTTTTTTAAAAAATACGGTAATTGCGGAACTGAGATGTTCAGCTTTAAAATTTGCTTTCTAAAATTAAAATCGATTGATATTTTTAATGTTTTGCTTTTGTATATAATCTTTTCTTTGGGCATTTTTATGATAGCGCTGCATTTTTATAAGTGTCTCTGATACATTATATCTCTTAAGGTTTTACGGATATTTTTTTTTAAAAATATTATTTTTAGGTATAAAGTTTTGATTTAAGAATTAAGAGAATATTTTTTTCCATTTTCCTTTTTTTCAACTTTGCAACTTTATTCATTTATTTTTTTTAATAGCTGTTAGTAAGTTTTTTTTATTTCTCTTATATTTCTAATTTCTTCTAGTTATCTTAATTATGTAGCTGTAATTCAATAATGTAGCTATAATAATATAGCTAAGTTTTGATTATTTTACAATAATGACTTAACTTATTTACGTATAAAATATATTTACAATTATTTAAAAAAAAAAATGCTGCTATTCGGCCGATATTTTTTTTGGCCAAATATTTGGCTATTTGGACGAATTGCCTTTTGTTACATGGCTAGTTAAATTACCTGTATTTTTCTTTACCTAGGTGACTAATCTAAGAAAAGAAAATTTCTGATTATTCATTAGATGTAATAAATAAAAGATGCATCTATTTAAGTTTTGAACAAACATAAAAAAAAAAAAAAAAATTGAAAAAATATATCTTGTAAAATTTTTTTTATTGTTATTGTATTTATTATTTTTTAAAAGTTCTTTTTATTATTATTATTAGACTTATTAATTTTTTTATAGATATTGACTTTAATTGACATACATTTATTTATAGGATGCTGCTTTTAATTTAGTGCTTAAAGTGATATTATCTATAAAAACTAGTGATATTGAAAAAACCGTTGCACAACTAGATAGAGATCAAATTGATATGTTAATGAAGTATGTTTATAAAGGATTTGAAAATCCCTCCGAAGGTAGAAGTGCACACCTTCTTGCTTGGCATGAAAAAGTAAGTTTTAACATTTTAATTTACTTAGTTCTCTTTGTGTCTGTCATTCTTTTAAGCTTTACTTAATTGTTTTTTTTCTTTCTAACAACTTAATGTTATGTATTGTTTTTTCTGGTAATTAGTTTAAATAACTTTATATGTCTTTGACAAATTTTGTATAATATCTGCTTTACTGATTTCATTTGCACATTTATGCTAATATTTTTTTGTTCTGAAGGAAAATTTAAACATTGATTGATTTTATAAAATATCTGTTTGTATTCTGGAATTTCTTTTCTTTCTTTCTTTCAAAAAGTAAAAATTAAATAAATAAATAAAAAAATAGTATAAATAAATGAAAGATAGAAAATTATACTTAAAATATATAATTAAATTGCCCACTATTTATCTTAAAAGTTAACATTTCAAGAAAAAAATTATTTATAACTGGGTTTTCTTTTTAAGCAATTTTTTATAATTTTTGTAATGATATTAATAATTCTAAGACACAGTCCTTTGTCATCTTTATTGAGAGCAAAAATCTGATTTCTTAAGAGTTCTTTAGAACATCGAAATTTTTTTTTTAAAGCTTCTTTGATACATTTTTAGTGACTTCTGTTTCCTTTTCTATCTTGTCATCACTTATCTCTCTCTGCTTTGTCGTTTATCGGTTCTCACTCTGTTTTGTACATAGAAACAATCACAAAATTTTCGTCAACATTTATGATAATCACTCAGGTGAATGCTCTTAATTCGATCTAGTGCAAATATTTCTTTGAGTTCATTGAATTTATTACTAGTTTATTATGATAGTTTTGATAATAAAACTCATAGTAGCAATTGATAATAGTTGTTTGGAAATCGTAGTTTAAAGATTTACTTTGATGTAAATCCTATGTAAGATGCTCACTTCCATAAACGTACGACTGTTTCTAAAAGGTGGTCCTTAAAGGTGGTTGTTTATTAAAGTTCATTTTTTAACATGAAAATATACCTGTTAACTTGTTTAAATTGTGATTACAGTAGAGTATCGATAATTCGAGGTGAACAAGACTGAGGCTACCTCTAACTTTGTAATACTTGTCAAAAACTTACAATTTAACAAATATTTAAATAAATGGAAATATATGCAGTTTTAAAATTTCAGCATTTAATTGATGTCATGTATTATATTTAAAGGAAATTTAGTTACATTAGAGGATCAGGGTACATTGCAGCAAGTTACAATATTCATTATATTACTGCATCCAGTTAATTTTACTTTAAAATAATTGTCTAATGTTTTTTTTGTTTAAACACACTGTTTACATGTTTCAGTGTTTAAAACGCAATTTTTTTTCACCATAATAATCATTGTAAAACCAATGGTAGTAATTGTTCCACGTGTTGTGTGTGTGTTGGTCATTGCTTAGAAGCAAGACTAATTTTTTTTCTCACTAGCTTAGATTTATGGGAAAAATTTAAACTCTATTGATAAAATTAGTATCTACAATGTTGCTCATATAATTTTTACCCCTTTGATTTTTATCAAAGAATCTCTTTAATTTCAATCTTCCAAGTGACGCGAAAGTTTTTATGTAATCACATTATGATCCATTGAGTTTTAATAGATATAGAGACACAAATCGGTTTTTTCAGCTCCATAACAATGCATTTGATTAACATTTTGAAAATATGTTTATCATATAACGATTAAAGGCCCAAATAATGTGAATATTAATGATTCTATTAAATTATATGATTTTATTCCATTATTAAGCAAGTTTATTTTGTTACCAATAAAAGAATTCTATTATGATCAATAGATCTTTTTCAACTTAACCTAAAAAGGTTTGCAAAAGTGCCATATTTTGCGAATATAAAGTCTGGATAGATTCTTTGAGATTAATTTTTTTCCCCATTACTATTTTTTATTTATTTATATTTTTCTGAAGATTATTTCATTTACATTTTAAAATACATTAAGCAGGGCTGCTACTGGCAACTAACATGACTAATTTAAAAAAAGAAAGAAAAGGCGTCTATTTTCGTTAAAATTTAAGCAAAAACGACCTTTTTCGAAAAATCTGCACCCCTTTTTTTATCATTTAGCTACAAATGAGGAAAAAATTCCCGCTTGGTTAACGGATGAGGTTGATCATCTTGCTTTATTTCTTTCCTTCTGGTATATTTTTTCCTTTTTGCAAATAAAGATATTATGAATGATTGATTTAATAATCATCTGCTTCAAAAAGCTTCTGTCCAATGTAGATATGTCATTTCGTCGGTGTTAATAGAAGCAGAAGTTGGAAATATAGATATAGAGGGGATATCACTATTAGGCTCTGTAGCAGATTACGAGGTTGTTGATTACTAATCATGATAAGATCGTGTTAATTATTAATTAGGATCCATCTTACGAGAACACTCCTTTCTCGGAACATAGTCGCCTATAAAATTGGGCTTTCAAAAGGAGATCATTTTCTTTGCTTCATTTTTTAAGTTTTATATTTAATATAAGAAAAGAAAAAAAAGCAGTTCATAAGAGTTCATCCTTTTCTTTTTAATGCATTTCTGTTAAGGTAAAAAAAAATATTTTCATTTTCTAAAATCCTAAATCTAAATTTTCCGTTTGAGGCCAATACGTATCTAGATGCATTTTTCAAGTATAAAATTTAAGTTTCACTCCTCAAAAATTTTACTTTGAGTGTATTTTATTCTTCGTAAAATGTTTGTGAAAATTATTAGTCTCTATTCCTTGCTGCTGAAACAAGATAATCCCGTCAAAAATCAATCAGTGATTGAGTGATGAGAGAACATTGGCATCCCTTTCATGTATTTTGAATTTCAGCACTCTTTGCTTGGTGATTAGGATTTAGATGCCTTTCCAGATTTTCGTGTTAAGGGCACCCTTTTTAGGCCACAATGAAGGTGTCCCTTGTGACACAATTTTTCAAACATACAGTAGAGAACCATTTATCCGGTATCCAGATAATCGGGAAAAATTTTGCTCGATTTTTTCCGCCATTTGAAACTAGAACGAAACAAGCGGAAATTGGACTCATCCTTGAAGTTGATTAGAGGAAAATGTAAGGAAGGGGAAAAAAATTTTCCCCGTTTATCCAGAGAAACGTCATATTTATTTGACATCGACTAATAAAAATAAAATCTTTTTCTTTTGAATAAATTCTCATTCTTTGGAAGTGCGGTATCAATTGCAAGTTTTTCTTGGTGTGGAATCACATCTGCTGTAATAAAAATCTTGTTTTTATCAACAAAAAAAATAAAATAAAAGGAGAATTGTTTATTTATTTAAACAAAAGATTATTTTATGAAGCAGATTGCAGTTTTGTTTTTCTGATTCCACTACGTTTGATTTTTTTTCTTTTCGCGATAAATTTCGCGCTCAATAAATTAATTCTTTTTATTCATAAATTTTATCATTAGGTTTTTTTTTTTGTTTTTTGAATTCCGTTGATCTTGCCTTGTTCCGGGTTTTAATATTTATGCTAGTGCCTTTTTTAACTATCGTTTCGGTTCGATAATTTTCAAGTGTTTTTATTTAGATTAATAAGTTTTCCTTTTATTTTATCGTTTACAAGTAGATAA